GTCGCACTTCAGAACACGGAGATTTATGGCTTGAAGGGAAACTCCAAAAATATAAATTTAAAAAAATATATTTATTGATTGAGGCAGTACGAAGTCTGCCGGGTCAGCTAGTTTTAAATATATATGTTAACTGACTTAAGTCATAAAATTTATATGTCTAGATATTCCCATATCATTGTCGTTACTTATAATTCTAAGTAAGGTAGTAAAACAAGATGCGTCAGAACCTACAGATTAAAGTGTACCGTGTACGTCTCATGTATAATTGATATAGCGCCAGTGATTATGTTAATCAATACGATATTTGTATTATTAATAACTATTTTAAATCAGCAACGAGTCAAATGACGTAAGAATTATTAAACGAAGCTGTTCTCATTATGTTGGGAACAGGGCTCAGTGGTTAATTTTTTTTCACAAGTCTTCATTTTAGACACTACCAGTATATACACTGTGTTCAAATACATTATTAAAACAGTTAGAAATAGTTGTTCTGTTTTAAGTATATAATTTGCAACTGCATGCTTTGGTCAAGTAAGCATCGTCACGCTACATAAAAAGCGTTTTTCATGTCATATCAAATAATCTAAATTAATACTATGTACAAAGATATACCTATATATGAGTGAAAGAATTTTTAAGGTCCGTATATGGTGTGACGACGAAAACTTAAGGTAGCCAGAATGTTGTGCATTTTTACTGTACCTATGGGTATCATTTTTAAATACATTACAGAGCGTACAGTTTCACTTTTAAGTAATATCAAACAATCAATATATAAATGAGATTTTTCTCAAATAGTAAAATACCCTCCGAATATATCCCTTATACAACGTGTAACGTAATTAACGCACACCCTCAAACACCCCAATTAGAATATAATAATATAAACGCAATGCATACACCAAATATTATTAATATGTGCGTTTAATACTCTGACTTACGAATCGTAAGTTACGATCCATTTTCGTTTCAATGAAGTGTTTAGATAACTGTGTGTAGGATGACTGTAACTTAGTTCTATCTAAATTTGAGAAAAAAAAAATGACCTACATAAAAAACTATAAAAATCGATCCAGATTCCGATTCTGAACAACCTACTTTCAGGGTGTGCATTAATTATGTTACACGTTGTATATCATTATTAAACAAAACTAAGATTTCCAAAAGAAGTATGTATATTCCCACTACGCGTTTTTATTACATATTTTAAAACTAAATATTCCCGACGTTCGGTTCCTTTGTAGCAACCGTGATCACGAACAGACGAGATGAAAATGACCGTCACTTGGTTGGTCGACATTTTTCAAAATATTAACAAACGCGTAAAACCAAAAATCGATGTATTATTTAAGATTTGTGTCTAGTATGGCACTAATATTATGTATAAAACATTAAACACATGAGAATTTTTGTTATTTACATATCCTTAGTTTTTAAAATTACTGGCAATAAAAACTATGATATCGACATAGATGGCATCACTTTACTACAAATTCTAGCTACGCGTTTTATGAGTAAACCGATAGATGGCGTTGAAATTAATAACTCATTACCTCTAAAAATTTACTCATCGAATGTGCTATAGTAATTTTTAGTAGAAAATTTTAATAATTTAGAACAAGCATCATATTTCATATTTAAGATAAAAATCTAAGAAGGTATTTATAAGTTAGAATGGAAACATGTGATGGGTTCAACGATCTCTGACAGATGTTCTTATAAGTCTCAGACCCTTACGTGGAACAGATGTTTTTACTTGCAAAACGTCTTTTATCATTCGGGACCTTATAAAATAAATACACTCACACAATATTCAAAAGAATATTTAATATTTAGAAAATAAGAAAAAGTGAATATAAAAAAAATATACAGGGTGACTGGTGAATTACTATCAATATTTAAGGAGCATACTCGGTACATGATTCTCATTCGGATTATGTAAAAAAAATAGGTACTTAATTTTTAACCAAATTTCCGTATAAATAAATAAAGTGTGTACACGTTCCAAGTGTTCCAAGTGTGGACGCGTGCGGCGGCGTGCTGATACAACACTACGCCGCCGCCGCGTCTGTGTGTGCGTGTGTGTATACCTAATCTGTAGGGTGTTCATACGATGCGTAATTAATTACATAACTTTTGGTTAACTTTACTTAGAAGTTTATTAATATTTATGTTATATTAATTTTTATTTTGTCATATATGATCGTCAAATATCACGTCCTCAAATATCGATAGTAATTCACCAGTCACCCTGTATATATTTATATAAGTGAATATAAAAAAAAAATAAAAAAATATACAATATAAGCGACATTTCTAAAATCAATTATTATGTATTATGACGATTCTGTTATAACGATGTACTCAAGTTTCTATTAAAACAGAATATTTATAATGTTAACAATAATTATTATCGGTGGTTAAATGCTTAGCGGAACTATTATCTAATTCTTAATTCCGTATATAGCTGCGTGCAAAAGTATTAGGCACCCCTATTGTTAGTCACTATCTCATTATATTGCGGTCAAATGTGTGTTTTATGGTTTAGCTATTGTATTAGCGGCAATTTTTAACCAAATTAAGATAAAAGAAAATATTTATGACATCCAGGTGTGCTCCTAAGCGGTGTTTCTTCGAATTTGCTTTTTTTGCGTTTCGGGTTATAGTGTGTTATCAGTGCTTGCAGTGAACATACACGTCTTCTACGCAACTATTCTTATCACAATTCTAAAGACTAACATTTAACGTGTTAATCATGCCGAAAAAATCTGAACTTAGTGCTGAATAGCGTCTAAGAATTAAGATTTTACATGAACAAGGCATGTCTCAGGTTAAAATAGCCCGAGAAGTGAAGTGCTCGCGATGTGCAGTTCAATATGCTATAAATCGCTTCAAAGAGACTGGCACCCATGAAAATAGACCAAGAACAGGCAGAAGAAAAGTTACTACTGAACGGGGAGATCGATTGTTGATTAGACAGTCTCTACAAAACAGGAAAAAAACTGCTTTAGAGCTCGCTGCAGCATTATCTGAGGCAAAAGGCAGCTCAGTGAGTGTTTATACTGTGAGAAGAAGACTTCTTAAAGCTGGATTAAAAGTATGTAAAGCAAGGAAGAAGCCGTGGCTGTCAGAACACAATAAGAAAAATCGGTTGAAGTGGGCACTCAAACATAGAGATTGGTCAGTGGAAGATTGGTCCAACATACTGTGGTCAGACGAATCTAACTTTGAGGTATTGTTATTTATTTTATGTACAATATTAAAACACATAAATGTTTTTAAAATAACGTACTGCAAGAAAAATAATAACTTTGAAAATAAATGTGTTTTTTTTTTTCGTTTGGCATAGGTGTTTGGAACACCCGGTGTGACTTATGTTAGGCGAAGGGTTGGCGAAGAATACAACCCAGAATGTGTGGTTCCCACTGTTAAGCATGGTGGAGGCTCAATAATGATCTGGGGCTGCATGGCTGCCGACGGAGTGGGCGAAATGGTGTTGTGTGAGGGACGAATGAATAGTGTTAAATACACTGAAGTTCTGGAAACAGCACTAGCAACGTCGATAACGCAAATTTTCGGTGATACAAACACCGATGGCCTGAAATTTCAGCAAGACAACGCCACTTGCCACAAGTCCGCGCATACCATGAAGTGGTTTGCTGAAAATCATATTGATCTCTTGGACTGGCCACCACAATCACCAGACCTCAACCCGATTGAGCATATTTGGTCCATTTTAAAGAAAAATATCCGCAGGCACTCGATTAGCAATAAACAAGCTCTATTGGCCGCGTTACATCAGGAATGGAAAAATATATCAAGAGAAGAATGTTTCAGGCTGGTAGAGTCAATGCCAAAAAGAGTGGCTGCGGTTATTAAGTCAAAAGGTGGACCTACAAAATATTAATTATTTTCTTAAAATAAACCATTGTAACCATAAATGCAGTTTTATTTACACTCGCTATGCTAAAACACCCTAAAACTTGTCTTACTGTAGGGTGCCTAATACTTTTGCCCGTGGCTATATACATTCTGTTCATGCAATAATTAATTTAAATGAATACATGAGATATAAAATCAAATTTAATTGGGGTTTAAAAACAAAATTGTCCCTCAAAATTAAAATACAATAAATAATTTTGAACATACATACAGCAGATATTTATTTTTGTAATTACAAACATAAATAAGCAGTTGAAACGTTTACATTAACATATATTTGAACTACAACTGCTAAATTTGTCAATATTTTTATTACTTTACTAGAAGACCTGGCGAACTTCGTATCGCCCTATAATCAAGAAATATCTATTACGTTTTTTATTTATATTTTTGGAGTTTACCTGTAAGCCATAAATCTCCGTGTTTTGAAGTGCGACAGAATGATTGACATATTAGTTAGTTGTCAAATCTAATATCAAAAAAAACGTATGTATGGGAAATAGAAAAGGGCTGTTTTTAGGGTTTTCCCGGCAATTATTCAAATTTTTCTCACCTTTTAAACCTTTCCTGGACTTCCAGGAGTATTTCAAGACTAAAATTTGCCAAATCGTTTCAGCCGTTCTCGAGTTTTAGCGAGACTAAGGAACAGCAATCCATTTTTATATATATAGAAGATAAGAATAATCCATATCTATAATGATATTTGTAATAAAGATTGTGCAATTTCTTATTCATCCTTTCTGTATACATTTAAAACGTTGACATTTGCAATTGTTGACTCATCCGTAGTTTCTTTTAACATTTAAAACATCAGCATAAAAATAATATTATTTTATACATCTATAGATGAAAATAGCCAGTAAAAATGTCCCTATAACTCATTAATATTAAGCATATAATATACAGTACATGAAACACAAGTCACAACAGAATACTGTTAGTCACTACCGCATAAGACATCAATATAACTCATTCAATTATGTGTATACGAATGTAGATTCAAAATTTTATGTAATAAGGACTAGTATGTATATTTTGAACAGCATTGGTCTGTTTCATTTCTCCTCAAGCGCTACACCTATCGTGTGTTCGACTACATCTTCCTCGTCATCTCCCACCGCTAGATGGCGTTCTACACACCCAGCTACGCATTCCAACCATCCTTTATTATACAGCTCCTTAATAACACGCTTCCGAAATACAACGAGTACCAAAAATAATAATAATCCTTGCAGTAAGTTGAAGAAGTCCAGTATCACCCTGGAATATATAAAAACAAAACACATTCAATGTCATACATTTTTTGTTTCATTCCTTTTTCAGTAACAGCAGCAAACGGGATCTCAGTTAACCGTGTCGTTCGTTGAACCCGGTTTAAGTATTTAACTTGATGCCGGCCTCTCTCTATATTAACCTCTACAGATATTTTAGTTATAACTTATAGTATATACTTATAGATTCATTTTCATATTTCTTGGTGAGGTTGTCAGCTGTCTTTATGAAATATTGTGCAAATATAATATGACGTGTCTTAGACGTTTTTAGTTTAGAAACTCACTTAAAATAAGATATTATAGAAATATTGGAGCTTTTTTTTAAATGTTTAACCATTCCATTTTTTTGTCATATTTTTTACTCTATGCTTTAGTGAGAAAACAAATTGTAAATAGTAAAATTGTACTGTAACCTAGTGATTTATAGAAAGTTTTCGTAATACATACCATATTATATGGGGTTTGCTTAAAGAGCTGATCATTTCAAATATCCACGCCAGTCCCATAACTATAAACATTCTTACTGTCATCCAGAATCTGTAATAAAAGATAAAGATTAAAAAAGTCCTTACCAGATACAAAAAAATCTCTATACTATCATGTGCAAAATTATAGATAATATGTCGTTCTCATGTCCCTATATTTAAGTTAAAATTGATTTAAATATTCTTTTGTTTTGTCAAAATATATTTGATACGCTAATTGAATGACGTAAATGACATTAATATGTTAATTCGACGTCTATTTTCGATTAATCTATAGATTACTAATGAATAGCTCAAAAACATTTTATGGGGAAACTTGTATTGAGTTTGTTCGTAAAATTAAACCGAGACTAACCAGTTTTTGTTAAGACCAGTCAAGTGTAAAGATTTATGAATAAAAAATTGGTTTACGTAACAAATTTCTTTCGTCATGTTATACTTTATAATAACTTACTACAAGTTTCCAAGAATACGATCTGCGAATTATAGTTTTTTCATTCATAATTTTGTACATAATTAAAGTAGGTTATTCAATCGTGTGTAGTGACGAGGCAAAGAGTTAGTCATACTATCTTACTTGTATTTAAGCGCCTTTATGTGTGTGGATGCGAAGGTATGCCGCCAGAGACTCAGCGATATGTACATAAATATGACCATGTTGCTGACAATCAGTATTGTCATCACGCTGTACATGTAATACCATTGTTGTTTGTGATCTAAAAACAAATTCACACATATTACAACCATATCTCCTTGGAATTATTTGAAATGACTTTGTACGTAGCTTCAAATTTTGAATCGAAGATCGTTTTTTATATGAATGAAATAAGGATGGCTTAAAGTTTTTGTAAGTGACTTATTGTCAGTTTTCATATAATAAATGTAGGGAGAGTAAATTATCAGGTAAAACATGTACATATGTAAATTTATATTGTCAAATGTGTTAGGTATATTCTTAACTAGCTTCGCTCCAGAAGCTTCGCCCGCGTGGAGTTCGGTTATATCGCGTTTCCAAGAGAACCTTTCATAAGTCTGGGATAAAACTATCCTATGTTCTTCCTCAAGGTCAACTCTATGTCTGAACCAAATTTCATTAAAATTAGTTTAGTGGTTTAGGCGTGAAAGCGTAACAGACAGACAGACAGAGTTACTTTCGCATTTATAATATTAGTAGGGATATTGACTAGACAAGATACGTCAACGGTGACTTGTTTTAAACATTGTAAAACTCAAAAAAGAAACAGTTCATGGAATCCTTTGAGAATTATTTGAATAAGTATTCAGAGAATTTTTGAGTCTTCATCTTATGTAAAAAAACCCCGATCTTTTGTTTACGATTTTAAGTTTTAATTTATATGAACTTTAAAGATAGATGAATTTATTATCCATTTCATCACAAAAGCATCCCCGAGTTGTAATATGAATCCTAATATTTATATTAACATTATTATGACTATTCAAAAATATTCTTGATTTCAAGGATTGTCTAATTTTTTGAATAGAATGTAAACAATCGTATCTTATTATTGAAAACTCATTTAAATTAATATTTTAGCGATCAGATCCATGATATTTTTATCATTTTTATTAAATAAACATTTTCCTACCAAAAAACCAGCACGTATTCAATCCTATGCCAGGTTTTCGATGTCTCCCAGGTGTGAAATTGACTATAGCCAGAATTACAGTAAGGATTGTAGGACATCCCCAGGCGTAAAGCGCGTACCACAAAAACGATTTCCAACTGTAGTCGATTGAAGTTGGCCGACTGGAATATAATAATCACAAGTTTTATATAAAATTTTAACTTAATTGAGATATATAATTTTTTTTTCTAAATTAGACCATCTCATAGATTCAAGCATTCTATAATCCTGTTCTTAATGTTTCATACATTAATGATTAAATTTAACTCACTCTAAACTCCGCAATATTTGTATGGATATAGAGTTTGACCAGAAGAAGGTGGCCAGAATAAAGAAATATGCGAGGAATCCTCTCACAGCACACCATTTTAAATCAGAATATTCCATGATGTTCATGATAGCCAATGTACTGAGACCGATCGCGAGACTTGCACAGAAGTTTATAATACTCTTGCCTAGAAGATCTCTGTAATGAAAGAAGAATATAATTATAAATATTGAAGTTGGCAATATTATTCCAAAGATATTTTAAATGGTTAAATTATGAGTGCAATATTATTTTGCAAATTGCCTTAATGGGTAAGAAATGAAAGGATAAAAAATTGTTCAAATAAAGACTAGTTAGCAACAGAATTTTTGTTGTATACCTCAACTTGGGTAGTATGCTGTACACAATCACTGTGATGACCAGAAATACAACTGATACTATCATGCAGTACCCGTAGACGCTCTCCTCCAAGATTTTCTCTTCCACTTCTGAACATATCACGGCCACAGGATCATCAGAAAACCTCGTGCCATTTGATACACAAAAACTAGAACAACACTCTTAAGTTAAAGGCAGTAAGGGGAAGTTATGGGAAGATTATTGTTATAATGGAGCTATTTAAATTGTTGAAGGTAGGGGAAAAATTATGGACAATCACAAGCCCTCGATTGTACGTCCTGCGCAAGTCCATATGTACGCATAGAGAGTATTTGTATAAATAAGGGTAATATTTTCGGTATTACTACGTATTTTTGAAGTTATACTTCTTTTGGCGCGATGGAGAAAAATGATGAGAGTGAATTTTTACGAAGCGCGCGCGCACCGACAACGACATCGTGAAGTTAGTTCTAGGTGGCTTGTTAATCGATTACTATGTTCAAGTTGTATATACTAGTATTTTTCTAATTAAAACACTTAGAATATTTATATTCTCGTTGGCCGAAATTTTGTATTCTGTCAGAAATGATTACTTTGTGAGAGATTGTAAAAAAATACATACATAGTTATAATATTTGTATAATATTTGTATAGTCGTTCTCAAATTTTCTTATATATATTTTGGCTTTCATTTTCAAACAAATACAAAATAACAAGTTTAGTATTTTATAAGAACATCTATCTCTCGCACGGTTAAAAATTATCAGAGCTAACCTTTAAGTAGTAAAGATAATTTGGTAATTACGCACAAATGAATATAAAATGATTTTAATTGTGTATTTTATTTTTTTTATTTTATTTTATTTTATTTTTTAACTGCCTTTTTATATTGAAAGAAAGTTTTATGTGTCACGCGTAAATATTTAATATTGTTACTTTACAAAGAATATAATATATAGAAGTTGTATATATAGAATAATATGTGAAGAATATGTAAATAATTACTTATCACGTTCTAGTTCAACAACCAGATCCTCGTTTAATGTCAATATAAGAGAATCCTCACTGACTGTGTAGTTGAACAGTATTAATGACAATGTATCAACATGAGGACACGTGAGGTTCGTCGGTGAAGTTTGGTTAGTTAACACATCCACGCAGAAATTCCCGGCGTCTTCAACAACGCCATGTTTGCAGCAATTGCTAGCCTCACTGCCGGTCAGGCCGATTGTCAATAACAAAAAAATTAACTTCATTTTCACACACAATAATCACTATTTTACTATTATTTCAAAATTTTGATGATCATTTTTACAAGAAACCGTAATTATACTGTGTAAGACGAATGGATTGATACGTGTTTTTCAAGCGCCGGCGCAAACCGTACTAAACAGTAAACTCTTCTGGTTTCAGTAATAAGCCTCCTGCTAACGGCAGCTCTGTTTAAAGACGGTCTGTTGCTTTTCTATTATGGTATTGTATTAAGGCCAGACATAAATTCGCTATCAATAATGGTAAAGCATAATTGTGAGGGTAGTGAAAGAAATTGAACGTTATTAATAATCCGAAAATAAATGACTTAAAAATTATGGAAAATATGTGGTCTAGGATAACTTATAAAGGAATTCTTTAAAAAATATATCTTGAAACATTAGGCTATAGAAAAGGTTGAAGGCAAAAAACACTGTACCCTTTTTTTTAAAGCAGATGGATAGAGATAAAATTAATGGTTAAAATTTATTAAGGGATAGACATTAAAGATATTTTTAAATAATATTTGATGGGAAATATAAAAATGTTAAACATGATGCCTGTTCTGAACACACAAACACGAAGTTTCCATGAGATAAGTTTCCGTCATTTTATTTAATCTTACTAAATCTATAATATATTGACAGTCATTACATCACATCATGGCCTTCAACTATTTGTATTGCAATTCGTCATATATTTTTTATTGAAACATTAGATACTAGCTGTGTTCGTAACTTTTTCCACGTGGAGTTTTTGTAAAATTTTATTTAATATGTAGGTACATACTAATGTTTAAAAAAATAAATAAAGTTCCTTAAGACACTTCCTATTATACTGGCTTATCCTTATCTGTAAGCAAAATTCCATTAAAAGTAAGTCTAGTCGTTTCATAGATTACCCGGAACAAACATACAGACCGATTAACAAAAAAATCAAAAATATTAATACGTAAACGTATTCATGTACATCAAAACATAAATTATAATAGAGACACGAACAAATTTTATTAAATTATGTAACTTAAAAAAAAATACTGGCAACCGGAAAATAATCTAAATTATCGGTAGAAAAAAAACGTTTGAACTATTGCTAGTTCGTTGACCTTTCTACTCGCCCAAAATTAAATTAACAATCGATCACAGTACAACTTCATGTGGTTATCCATCACTAGCATTATTTGAGAAACAAAAATAGTTCATGCGTCATCCAATACAAAACTGTGATAAGGCGAACTTCCATAAAAAAATTCAAACATATCTTTCGTACACTACTTAAAGAGTTCATTAATATGGAACTTAAATAGTACTTCTCTTATCTCACTTTTAACTCATTAACATATATTTATAATTAATAGTATAAATTACACTATATTTCATAATTTAATTAAACCTATCGCCACAACTTTACAAACATTAGTAAGAATTTATTGAATCATATTTTTAAACAAACAATATTTACATTGTAAGTAGTATGTTATTAGGGTTATTTTTTAAACAAAAATCTACGTCACTTAGCTTTAATAACGATAAAGATATATTATCGCATGTTGATAACCGCATTACAAGGGTCCATACTGTAAAATTTCTACTAAGTGGTCAAAGCAGCGGTTAAATTCCCTGAACTCTTAAGAAATCTAATTTCACTTGTACTGAGTAAGATTTCGTTTGCAAAACTCACTATAGTAGAATGTATAAGTAAGTTAATAAACTTGTTCCGGATAACCAATGAAGCGTGGATAACTCACTCACAATCAGCTGTATCGCAGCGTCGTGTGGTTAAAAAAAAATTAACAAAAAAGTAGCAAACTGAGACGGCAAAGCTCTTAAGAGGAATTGAATTTTTTGATATTATTACAACACTGAAAAATTATTATTATTTCTTGAATTTTTTAACTATATTAATAATACTAAAAAAATATTAGATAACAAAATTATTGGTCCGGAATTTCTCTATAATAGGATTCTAAGACTTTGAATCTCGATTTAAAAATATTCATAAGTTATTAAAAAAAATTGTGATATGGTGTTTCTTACTGAGGTATATGAAAAAACTATTTTTGTTACAGCTTCTGGAAATGCTCAAATTTTATGCTCGTTTCGAGATCAGCGATGAGACGGGTGACCCCATGACCGACCGCGATATGACCTTACAGCATTATTCCAGAATAACATCACTACAGGTACACCTTATTCATTAGTTTCTATTGAACTGAATTTAGTTTCTATTTTTAGGTACACCAATTGACTTACAAAATTATTTACGCTTATTTTTAAAGCTTTATATGGTCCTCTTTATTTAACTTTTACTTCAAATTTAACATAATGTAATTGATTATAAACAATTGTTAAATATATTTTGATGTTTCAGAAAGCTGCGTTCACAAAGTTTCCCGATCTTAGATTGTTCTCTCTAGCGAACGTAGCAAGCGTTGATACGAGGGAATCTCTTCAGAAACACTTTGGGAATCTCAGGTATTTTTAGAGTTCATTAATAAAGTTATAATTATGCTACATCTTTATTATAATACTAATTTTATTCCAGCGATAAGGCATTAAGGGCCATTGCTACATATCTGAATTTAGTTCCCATGGAAGGCAAGGAAGATGAAGCGCCGTGGCATAGGCTAGATAAAGATTTCCTCAGGGAACTTTTGGTGAGTTGCTAATAGATAATATGCGTAGCAATTTATTTTATGATTGAATTCCAGATAACTAGCCATGTGTTTTATTTCGTCTGACTCAGTGCATATTAAAAGCTATTAGAGTAAATATAGATTGAAGTGTAAAAACCCATAGCCATATGCTAAAAACGCATATCTATTATTATACATATTATATGATTTTCGTATGTGATAAAATATAGATATCAAGGCACGAGCGAAGAATTTCTCAGTTGGAAGAATTGAATTCAATGCCTTTATATCCCACGGAGAAGGTTGTATGGGACGAACACGTGGTGCCTACCGAGGTTTACAGCGGGGAGAGATGCCTTGCTCTACCAAAACTTAACCTCCAATTCCTGACACTTCACGATTACCTATTGAGGAACTTCAACCTTTTCCGTCTAGAGAGTACATGTAAGTATAATTATGTCCCATAATTTTCGATTAGTCACAAACATCTGGTGAACTAATGCTGTTTATTTGTGATTTCATGCTCAATAGATGCTGTATCATATGACCGGCCTCGCCCACAACTTGCTCATTCATTTGAATAAAACAATTGTCGAGATTGTTCACGATTAATTCCATGTAAACATTCATAAAATTTTAAATTATATCTACTCAATGAGTTTTAATTGTCTTTATATTGGTAGTCGCGAGACAAAACTTATTTTACCGTTAATTACTTAAGTTTTTGTAGTCTTAACGAGCCACGAAATTTAAAATTAAATACATATTTAATGTGTTTGAAAGTACCAGTCGATACGCTTAATTTTTTACTTGTATACAGTACATGTTATTTTAGCGCCATAGTTATTTGAACTTCTATTTCGAAAGTCCTATTCGGTCTTAGTCACTAACGCTAAACAAACAGCAACCAAAACACGATTTATATAAGGAACTGCCTGTATAATGGGTGTTGTTCCATTTCAGACGATCAGCAAATAAGATAAAAGATATTTAGCTCAGATAAGCTTCACTAAATCCATTTTAGGTGTAACTTTATAGATCTTACCTGAGGTAAGGTCAAGGAGAGGTCAAATGACGAATTTTGTTTAGGAATTATTCCTAACTTTATTTTCTATAATGATTCTAAATGTCAATTCTATTAACATATGTTGACTGGTCAAATATCAAGATGTTTTATTGACTTATATGATTTAAATTTACGTTATTACGTTATGTGTATTTCAAGTAAATTTTAATGCAACCGGTATAAATTGAGCGATATAAGATAAATATATGGCTCACAATAAGTCCCTTGTTAAATTACTAGATATAGTCATTTATTGTAATAATTTTATGATGTTGCATCTAAATCGTGCAAATCTACATCATTCTGTGCTATTACGATTTAAAATGTACGATTATATATACATATATATTAATTGTTTCTGATTTCATAAACATTAAATGGGATTCAACGTCATTAGCAAAATACTTAGATATTATTAATGTACTGTAAGTTGCTCTTATGACTTCTGGGAAATCTTTGTCGTCAGAGAGGTATGCATTATATTCCTTATTCTCATTTTTTATTGTTATTCTTCTTTTGTATTTATTCTTGAATTTTACCGGCCAGAACAAAGGTTGGTCAGGTAACGAATGTCAGACTTAAAAAAATCAAAGTCGGCGATATGAACGTATAGTCCTTATACATGACAAAATTTACTAAAACGTAAATCATTTGCTATGTTTTGAACATGACGTTAATTAACTTAATTGGTGGCTTCTTCTTTCACTAAATGATTAAATTGCGGCTATATCTCCAATACATTTTATGAAAAAAATTGAAAAATCAAAACGAATGTCTATATAAATTATCGGCAATGAATCATATAATACAAGTTTTGTTGAAGAGAAAATAGAGGCCCGAAGTTAGCACGAGGAACGTGGTTATTCTGGTTTTCAAAAAGCAGCTACACTATTGTTTTAAAGTGAAGAATGTTATTCTATGCCACTTTTAATAGTTTTTTTATTGAACTGTCGAGTGTGTGTGTGAGTGTGTGTTGGTCTGAAAAAAAATTGACAAGCCTCTATCTGCCGTTTTGTGACTCTTGAAAAGAAACTACTTGACTATCGATACCTCAAGTCTCTGAGATATTAATAGTTGTTAGTTACAACGTCATAAAATCCGACGTTCTTCAGAACTTGACCACAAGCCTATAACGTTAGTGTGCGGTGTGAGATGCGGTCACTTCTCTGAAAGCAGGAAACTATCTTCATGACCTTAAACTTTAAATTTACGTTCCTCTATTTTTATTATTACACGTTTATAAATGTAAAAGTCATACAGATTTATTGGCACATCATACTACTTTAATAACTAATTTGCGAAATACAAGAAAAAAGCCTAAATTAATCATAATTCAGACGTCTGTCTGTTAATTAAGACCTATCAATCTCTGTTTATTAAAACAATTAGTTTTTCTTAGTCTACGCCTTCTAAATATTTGTTTATATGGAAGTTAGGTCACTATCCAACAATTTAGAAATACAAAGTTATCTGGTGACTGCTCTCTGAATTATTTCAAGCTAATCTTTAAACAAATGCACGGCGACGCGACGTTGTCACTTTGTCCTGAAACACGTTGTTTGAGGTGCATACATATGTATTATGTTTGCGAGTGACACACTTACCGGCTTTGTTTACATTTACGAAGTGTATTTAAGTAATAGCAAATTAAAATTCATAATAAAAATATTTAACATATGTTTAAAATTCCAAATATTTTTCTATTAGTAACATAAAATTTTACTTTATCATGTAAAATTACTGATTTCTTATATTTATGGGGGCGTTATCTCTAGCTAGTTGAACGCTTGACATTATTTCACGTCAACAATTTACAAGCCATTGTTTGTGTGTTATCTTAAAAGATAATATAGATCTATTAATATCTAGACGGTACTGAACTTTATAAATCCTTCCAGATGAGATTCGTCAAGACATCGAGGATGCTGTGTATCGTCTGTCGCCATGGTAACGTATTCGGAATATTTTATTATTTACATATATATTAATGGAACATGAGGCAATAGTTTTAAAACATTATGCTGATATTTAAATTAATGTATAATTTATTCAAAATTTTAAATAATACAGAAAAAATGGTTGTAGTTATAGACATCTAATTCGATTTGAATTTAATATTAAAAATATACAAGCCTGTTTGAATTTACGCAGTTATATTGGGAGAAATTCCATAGCTTAATAAGAGGCGAAAGGCAGCTGTAACATTGTTTATTAGGAGAACAATATTCACATTGTGAACCATTGCCCTTTTTAAACTTGCCTTAATCATATGACTATTTAGTATATCCATGACGTAAAATAATCTATACAATTTCACCGAATTTACTATTTTACGACGAAATATTCTACGATACCAGGAAATCGGAAGACGGTACTGTGATATTTGGGGGCTGGGCGCGTATGGCTCATCCTATTCAGAGCTTCGCTGTGGTTGAGGTCGCGAAACCGAATATAGGAGAGAAGGCGCCTTCAAGGGTCCGTGCTGACGTCACAGTGACCCTCAGCGTGAGGAACGAGATCAAGCACGAGTGGGAGAGTCTCAGGAAACACGATGTATGCTTCCTTATAACCGTCAGGCCTAGCGAGGGTATAGGTATGTCCATGTATCCATTAATATTCTATAACAAATCAATGTCCCTTTTGATATATAATGAAAAATTCATTTATACTACAGATATCTAACACTTCAATTCAAGCCAATTATTGCTATAATAATAAGATACATTTATTAACTAACTTTATTAGACACGATAGTTCAATTCGCAAAATGAATGGGACGCTTTATACCGGTAGCACGTTCAATCCGGCTCAACAAATATTTTTTTCATCATATTGAATAATTTGTTAATATGTTTTCTAACAAAGCTCTCGGTTTCTACGATCTACAGCATTGCGTAATCTTATAACATCCTAAATAGTTGACCCATCGACCTTGACAACTGAGAATAGAAAAAGCGTTGTTGTGTATAAGATATATTTAAAAAGCATGTATTAAAGTCAAGTTTATTCATATAATACATGTTACATAATATACATATATATTAAGATTTTGTCCATGTATTGTATATATATAATTGATTTTCAAACTAGTTATATCCTCTTTTATATAAATAATAGCTTTCCGCCCACAGCTTTGCCCGCGTAGAGTTCGGTTAAAACGCGTTTCCAAGAGAACCTTTCGAAAGTCTCGGATAAAAACTATCCTATGTTCTTTCTCAAGGTCAACCCTATCTCTGTACCAAATTTCAATAAAAACAGTTCATTGTTTTAAGCTTGAAAGCGTAACAGACAGACAGACAGAGTTACTTTCGCATTTATAATATTAGTAGGGATAAATTCAAATGAAACTATACATACTAGATACCAAAATGTTTTAAACTCTATATGACGTGAGAAAAATGTTATTAAGGTACAAAATACGATTACAAGAAGAGTATGGTGGACCAGGCTGGTATAGTGTACATCCGAGGATGTGAGGTTGAAGGGATGTTGGATGCTGGCGGGAGGGTCATAGAGGATGGACCAGAACCAAGACCAGAACTAGAAGGAGATTCAAGAACATTCAGACTGCTGCTAGACCCTAACCAGTATAGGTTGGACCTTGACGAAGCCAGCAAAGGAAAAGAGGTATTGTGACATTTCATTATATATCCTACTATTATAATTGCGAAAGTTTGTGAGTGTGTGTATTTTTGTTACTTCTTCACGCTCAAACGGCTGACCGATTTTGATAAAATTTTGTATACAGGAAGCTGACGTCCGGGAATAACACATAGGCTACTTTACATCCCGGAAATCCGCGGGTAAAACCGCGGGGCGCAGCTAGTAAAAACTAAGAGAAACCAAATTACATCGAAATCGATTTATTAAAAATATTGTAGTAGAAATAAATAGACAAAAAAAAATGGAAAAATATTTGTGGATACTACACAGATATATAATTTTATAAAGCCAAAAAATTATTACTGAATTTTTTCACATAAACTTTTTTTCAAAGTCAAAGAACCTTATGGACTTTAAGCAGCTTCGCCCGCGTGAAGTTCGGCTATATCGTATTTCCAAGAGAACCTTGCAAAAGTCTGGGATAAAACTATCCTATGTTCTTTCTCAAGATCAACTCTATATCTGTACCAAATTTCATTAAAATCAGTTCAGTGGTTTAGACGTGAAAGCGTAACAGACAGACAGACAGACAGACTTACTTTCGCATTTATAATATTAGTAGGGATATATAAATACCGCCTTACAAAACTAACGACCGATTTAACGCTGGTTAAATCGTAATCAATTAGTTTATATACAAATCGCGCACATGCTTTGTATTCAAATATATATTTTGACATTTGGTTGGCTTAATTGCAAATTTGTAATATTTAAATTCTATTTATATGGCGTTAGTAGTTATTACGTGCCCATAATAGTTTAAATATAGGCAACGATGTCTAGAATATGGGCACTTGATTTTGTACGAATTTGGTTTGCAATTTTTTTTGGCAAAGCCTTTTTTGTGACGTATGATCCTTTAAATTTTAAAAGATTCGTAAGTTCTTTTATAATGATCACATATAATAAAAGAACAAATTAAGGATCATTTCTCAAGAAGGGCCTTTTTTAATATAAATTCACATTTCTTGGATTTTTTTTGTTACAATATAGTTAAATAATTATAATTTGGCAAAACGCCAGCTTAAAATATAGCGAGCGTAATTGAAATGTATACTTGGGATTTATTAAGAGCCCTTGGTACGGGTTGACATCAAAAATCGAAGCACGAACGGTTTTTAAGTTCATTATCATAGTAAATAACAATGCCGTCACAATTATTTAAATTAAGTATGATATAAATCTTTGAAAAATGCAACCTGGTGTTTTTCATTATACAGCATCACAAACACTACAAACGACAAAGTGTTTTAGGATTTATTTTGTATTTTAAGATTTAATTTCATAATATGAATAATAATATAAGTCTATTTTTGAATTGAGGCCTTATGGGCCTGTTTGAGTTATAAAAACAATAGTTCTGGTTTATGTTAACCACGTAATCGAGACCTCGTATCGTCTGAGGCCTATCATAATACGGGTAGACTCAGTTACGTATTTGCCTATAACATATCTATATTAAAAATTGAGCGCATATTATTATTTTTTTCATCATTCCCATTCACTCTACCTGACTGTAATGCGACATGCAATAGATGAACAAATAATTTGAGGCGTGTACCAAATTTCACTTTAAAAGTTCTAAATCATCCTTGATTTTTTCATAATTTATAAGTCAGGTAATATAAAGTTGACATATTAAAATGTGGATGAGCCTTAATACTTATTTTATAACTTGGATTTTTGATAGCGTATTACAAGATATATGTATATTTATATAAACATAGAACTTAAAACAATAAATATATTTTTAACTTTTTAGAATACCAATAATAATTAATTACGTACTCTATATTTATATATTTTGTATCATATAATAATTTATAAAATTATATATTTCTTGGTGGTTCGAATAAAATAATATTATATAAACCACATACTATATCATCAATAGTTGTAATATTAAATAAAAGAAGTGATAATTTTTATAGAAAAAAAACTCTTTTACATTAACCTGACAATATTTTCAGTAAACAAAATCTGTTCCACGAAATTTCTTTTCTATTCACAGCTGACATATCTATTTTAAACTATGAGGAAAATCTTTGAAATAACTGAATCATTTCAACGAAATACCTTGAATTTCCAGAGAATAACCAGTTTCGACACAGCACACTCTTTATAATTATTAATTTGCTACTTCCGTATTCCTTCTTCCTTATAAAAGCCTGAATCATTTCCCTTCTCTAAATATTCCAGTGTTATAATTATTACACTAATGTTTGCTCTCGACTTCATCACCTTGAGCTTTGCATATACCATCAACCGGTAGTAACATTTACAGCATGTGTCACGGAACTACACGGGATTTCCAAATTAACTTGCCTATGTCATATTCTTAATTACGGTCAAATTTAATCAAAATTCGTTTAGTACTTTTAGCTTGAAAGACCACAACATACATGCAGCCTCATAAACTTTAGCATTAATAATTTTTTTTTTCATATTAAACATAATCCAACTTTTAATTCGCTAATACGAAATATCAGAACTTTCGATCAAAACACTTGTAAGGTCGTTTTCGAAGAAAATATTCGTAGGCCTCTCAAAATAACTCGTCCATTTAAGAACAGGCGTGGGCCAACCATCGTAAACAAACTATTAGCAAATCAAAACAAAACTATAAACTTTGTCGCAGATTTTTTAACTATTACACAAGAGTTAGAATAATATAATTCAATAATATAAAAATATTTTTGTACAAGTATAAATGAAAATATTATTTTTATATTTTTAATGGTCGTCTTTGTACATATATTAAATGTATTAAAATCTATAAATAGAAAGAAATTACATAATCATTACACCTAGGGATAAACAAATCGCGTTAATCAGTTATTCCTTAATTTCTTATTTAGTTAAAATTTAAACTATAATATTCGCATTGTTCTTCAATGGAAGAAAAAAAAAGTTTTATTCCACCAGCCATTAGTATTCCAAGGTCGTAGAGTATTTTGCTAGTCACATTTTGTATTACATTGTAACTCAAAGTGTCGAGAAAAACATAATTTTACCATGAACTTCTCAAGATCAACTATTTATTGAAACTGTATACTTTAAAGTAAACACCTTAATCCATATTGCAAGAATATAAGATCACAATGTTTTATAATAATTAGATATAAGATTTTCGTGAGTACTCATTTAAATGAAACTAATATTTTCGGATTTTACTTCGCGTATTTATTTTTGATTATAAACTACATACTTCCGACGTTTCGGCTACTTTTCAGCAACTGTGATCATAATCTGGTTGGTCTGGTTATTTTTAGCACCTACCGCCATCGATTTCTTAATCTTCAGAAGATTAATACGCGAAGTAAAATCCGAAAATATTAGTTTCATTGATAATAATTCTTATTAAAACTATAAATACAGGATGTATACGAGACATTCAACATCGTTGTACGTCGGAAACCCAAAGAGAACAACTTTAAAGCTGTTTTGGAGACGATACGAGAGCTGATGAATACGGAGTGTGTGGTCCCTGAGTGGCTACATGATATAGTACTGGGGTATGGTGACCCTGGACAGGCGCACTACACCAGGTGATTACGACTATAGATATAGATATAGATGAAACGAGATATAGATGAACATAGAATATTTAGATGTACTTTATTTGGTTGTTAGACTAATTGATTTGTAATAATGGGAAAATTATCTCTTAGTTTTATATTTAGTAAAAATAATTGTAAATGGAAGATTTTTTTCGATTTATTTTGTCTATATTATCACGAACTGCAAACAAAAGTCTTGAATTCGCTCTCATTCATACATATATACTTTTTAAGATATCAATATCTATATCAAACAAAAAAGAATTCTCGCTATAAAAGATTACCAAATCATTTAATTTGTAAATTAAGTCATAATAACAAAGCCATCTCAATACATATCTTTTAGTATATTATTTAATAACCTTCTTATCAGAATGCCCAACGAGATCCCGACCCTGGACTTCAACGACACGTTCCTGGATATGGAACATTTGCGGAACAGTTTTCCGGGACACGAGATAAAGGTACAGACAGATGACCCGCGGAAACTCGTCCGACCATTCAAGTATGTATAAATCACCTTCTCTATAACTAATTATATACAAACTCACACTTACATATAATTATATATTTTGTATATAACAATATTAATTTACATTATATATAGTTCTCTTCTTTCTGTTCATATATTACAATTTCTGCTCTTGTTCCTATATTAAAAGGGTTTTTGCTAGAGATCTCTTTTAAGAGATAAGCAATCCTTTGAAAATCACATTTATTTTATAATTATGTAACCATTTCTACTTTTTAATATTATAAATATAAATAAAGTTTGAAATCACCAACCTGCCTTGAACATGAACAATGCTCAAATCTTCCTCATGTGAGTAGAGTCCTTTGCTCAGCACTGTTCTCTGCTAGGGCTGATGATGGTTTTTCAAGCAGAATGAAAAACACTGATGTCTTTTTAAATGACATTACGGTTATAGCTATACCTTTTATAGGGAAAAAATTATCTTAGAGATCAGAATTTTCACCTTATTATTAGTTCAAGTATAAACTCAATATAACTAATATTAAAACAAACATACAAATTGAATATTCCAGGTTGACTTTCGAGAACGTTCTACGTAAACAACGAGGTGAGACAGATATGGATGAAGATGAACCGAAGAAGGTTATAGTGGTCGAACCTCACGTGCTGCCCAAGAGAGGGCCGTACCTGTACAATGAACCTAAAAAGTAAGCTCAAGTTAACCATTAACTAACCTATGTAGTTAAAATTAAACCTTAATAAAACAAAACTTTATCTCTAACTAGCTTTCCAAGCTATATCGCGTTTCCAAGAGAACCTTTCAAAAGTCTGTAATAAAAACTATTCTATGTTCTTTCTCAAAGTCAACTCTATCTCTATACCAAATTTCATTAAAATCAGTTCAGTGGTTTAGGCGTAAAAGCGTAACAAACAGACAGACAGAGCTACTTTCGCATTTATAATATTAGTAGGGATATCAGTTAATAAATTTACTTTATCAATATATTACTATCTTTAACTACCATACAAGAGTTTAAATGTTTTTAATATGATTTTTATATATAATATATATTAAATGTATGTATATATGTCAGGAACAACATTCTGTTCACGCCGACCCAAGTTGAAGCGATAAGGTCAGGAATGCAGCCGGGACTTACAGTTGTAGTGGGACCTCCCGGGACAGGTATACGATATTCAGAATTATTATTATTATATTAATATTAATATATATATCTATATAGATATAAAATTGTATAATTCTGCATTCATGCACTAGTAACATCAAAATAATTGGATAAATTTCAAAATAAATATAGTTTTATTTTTGAAACACTTCTTCATATAAAACTACGATATCTTCATTAAATATGAAATTTTTAATTTTAATTAATAATGTAATTTTTAAAATCTTCTCGTGAACTTCGCTCGTTTGTATAACAAAGAAAGTCGCAGGTAACAGATAGGTAAAACAATATAAATGTATACAATCTTTCGTCAGCTAAATTAGGATATACAGGCGGTCCTCGACTTACGTCGTTTCGATTTACGTCGTTTCAAGTTACGTCGAACAATGTTTTGACACTATTCCTCAAGCATACGTCATTTGTTTCGATTTCCGGCATATCGGAGAATTCACTTGTCGCAAGGTCAATGTCCGTGAGGGGCGCTAACCGTTTGCCTGACATTGCAGTTACTACTGATGATATTGAGGATCTGTTAAGCTCACATTCGCAAGAACTGACTGATGAAGATCTTATTGAATTGGAAGCACAAGTACAAAAGGAAGCACTCGAGTCACAGGAAATAGCTCCTTCTATTAGTGACTCTGAAAAAGAACTTACACTAAAAAAACTTTCCGCAGCCTTTGCAAATTTGAAGAATGCCATGAAATTTTTTGAAGAAAATGATCCTAATTTTGAGAGAAGTTTTAACGATAATAACAAAATTTGTGCAGCCTATCACTGTTACCAAGATCTGTATGATAGCAAGAAGAAAGAAGCCAAGCAATCTAGAATTGATAGTTTCTTTAAGCCAAAAGTTTAATTTATTATTTATCATTACATATGTATAAGTTTTATAATTATTATTAAAATTAATAACACACAAATACCAAAAATAACTAGCAATTTCATAAGTGCATAATATATAATTATTTTAAGAACTTACTTTTAATAATAAAGTACGTCCTTTGTTATAAATGCAGTTTTTTTTATTATTTCGAGTCCGTGTGGAACCTAACCCTTGAGTTTTACATGTAAACATATGAAAAATATGTCTCGACTTACGTCGTTTCGATTTACGTCGCGTATTTCAAGAACCTAACATGCCGTAAGTACGAGGACTGCCTGTATATATAAACTTAGAGATTATTTGTAAAATTAGGTTATACTATATATAGCTGTAACAAAGTTTATATTCACGGACGTATTAAACATAAGGACTTCCTATTCACACAAATATCACATCATTACTAGCCGTGCCTCCCAACTTTACTTGGCTTATTGTTCAGATGTAACACATGCTACTGTATCATTTAAAAGTTCCAATGTTTTTTTTAAGTTGTATATAGATGTCGACAAACATATTGAAAGATTGTTTGTTCTGTTTAATAAATCTGTCATTGTACGTATAATTGTATGTTGTATGTATAATTGTATATTGTATACCTAATAATATCACGTATTATTTATCAAAGACAATTTTTCATACGTACAAAGTTTTACGAGCAATCAAAGTTCGTATCATGATAACATCTACAGTACCGGGTTTTCGAACAATTCATCATTCATCACGGCTTTAAGTGAATGAATAACTTTTGGAATTATCTCATCGTTATGACGTCATTTCCTTTTTGATCTCATTGCAGTCATTTGAATAAGTGACTTATTGAGTTACTTAGTATATATACACTTCAATTAACTGTATTTTTCGAATTTGATTCGTGTTTTATTGGAGTTTATTTGTACCCCTCAAGATTGGGGAATGAGGAATAGTTGTGAAATCGTTGGCGGATAATGACAAAAAATAAGACTGTTACTGCGATAATAATCGAAACATCTCATATAAAACGCACATTATATAAAAAAAAAATAGTTTTGTAAATTACTTAAAATTTCATTAACTACAACATATTGTGATACGTATGTAGTCTTCGAAAATATTTTGCTGTTTAAGAAAAATAAATATTTGTACAAAAATAAGTCTATCCATCTGATCGCTTCTTTGACAGATGAAAACGTCGAACCGATTTTAATAATAAGAACCGATTGAAAGAACTAATTAACGTTATCAAAATGAGCAGAGTCACAGTAAATAGCTAGTCGTATTAGAATATTATAAAACCGATTTAAAATCCATTTAAACAGTTGTTTCAAATAAATACTTCCTCAATTACAACAAATCTACCCTTTGAATAGTTAACACTAATATATGGATCATTAAAAAATATATAACATATAATATTTGTATTCAAAACAGGTAAAACTGACGTCGCGGTCCAGATAATATCGAACTTGTACCATAACTTTCCGTCCCAGAGGACGTTAGTAGTGACGCACAGCAACCAAGCTCTCAACCAGCTGTTCGAGAAGGTTGCTGAGCTGGATGTAGACGAGAGGCACCTGCTGCGTCTTGGACACGGTGAGGAGGCCCTGCAGACCGACAAGGACTTCTCCAGGTGAACACTTCCAGCTGATTTCGTAGTCTTCCAGCTGTTTTTGTAGTCTTCCAACAGTATTCTCTATATAGAAGACAAAAATAAGAACAATTATGTTCGTCATTGATCATATTGCATAGTTCAAAATGTCTATAGAATTTTTTTCCAAGTGTTACGATAGTGTAATTCAACTATAGTTGATTTGTAAATTATTCTATACTAGCTTTCCGCTCGCAGCTTTGCCCGCGTGGAGTTTTATTATATCGCGTCTCCAAGAGAACCTTTCAAAAGTCTGGGATAAAAACTATCCTATGTTCTTTCTCAAGGTCAACTCCATCTCTGTACCAAATTTCATTAAAATCAGTTCAGTGTTTTAGGCGTGACACAGACAGACAGACGGAATTATTTTCGCATTTATAATATTAGTAAGTATAAATCAAAGCATATGCCCTTTCTATGTTATATCGAAACTATATGGTCAAATTTTCAAATTGCAGGTATGGTCGTGTGAATTATGTGCTGGCAAAGCGTTTGGAGCTTCTAGGCCAAGTGTCACGTCTTCAAACGACGCTAGGTGCGGGGGGTGAGGCTGGCGGCGCGGGAGGGGAGGCTGGGGCCACATGCGAGCTGGCACACCACTTCCACGTATACCACGTGAAGCCAAGATGGGAAACCTTCCTCAGGACATGCGAAAGAGATCAGGTTTGAACACTATATAATAGGAATTAATATAAAATTTTTCAAAATATAAAATTCTTACAAATCAAATGTACTATATATGGGAAATATTTTGCATATTTTTGCTGTCACCTTGATGACTATTCTACGGAACCCAGTATGGGAGTTTATGTCATATAAAACCAGTTTAACCTTATACTTAATGTACGTGTATTTCTAAACTAGGTTCAGAAAGAAAAGTATGTGTATAGAGCTTAGCAACAACCGAGTCCAACTAGATTAAATAATTTTGCCTAAATGGAGATGATTAAATTGTCTTATATTTAAATTTTAAATATCATCGGTAATCAATAAAAATAATTTGAATATCATTGGACAGTTGAGATCTTGCTTACTTTTATTAGTAACAGGTTAATGTTTATAATTAATTAAGATTAAAATGAGATATATATTATTTAAACTGTGGTCGAGTGTATAACTATTGACGTATTGACATATGTACAATTTCAATATAATTGGCCATAAGATATATTATGAATTGATTCATATTAATATTTATTTTTCCTAGAAAAAGTCGGTAGAAACCATCAGTAAAGAGTTCCCATTCCACGAGTTCTTCGACGGTGCTCCCAAGCCGCTGTTCCCGGGGAAATCTTACGATGAAGATATGGAGATTGCACTGAGTTGCTATAGGTAATATATAGCGTCTATATAAATATATTTTCCTATGACCTTTAAATTTTAACCCAAAACTAAATTCCAAACCAAAATTATAAAAATTTAAGCCCCGTGTTTGTCTCATCTTTGATCTAAGAGAAATAACTCAGAAAAATGTCTAATTTCCAGAGGAACCTTCGCAAAATTTCGTCGTATATACATATAATTGGAAATACTAACAAAAATGACTTTAAAAGAATATTCCACTCAATTCCACTATTGATTTTTTAAAATTTATGCGAACAATGAAAAAAATTAATATTAATAATTCTGTCGAATTATGATTTAAACTCATCGTTGACAACCGCTTGTATGTTGTTAGCTCCTCTACTACCCTCGCATCTTCCTACAATATATATATTTGATATCAAGATAAGATCTTAATAAGTAATATTAATGCACCCCCAGATACATCCATCACATCTTCGAGGAGTTAGAGGAGTTCCGCGCCTTCGAACTGCTGAGGTCGGGTCTGGACCGCTCCAAGTACCTACTAGTGAAGGAAGCGAAGATCATAGCTATGACTTGTACACACGCAGCGCTCAAACGATCCGAACTAGTACAAATGGGTATGAATATATATTTCGCTATTAAAGAAAATAACAATATGACATTTGACAATTAAGTTTTAATTGAAATTGACAAGTATAAAAGGTACATTAAAGAACAAAATAATGAAAGCAAACACCAGTACAACAGAAATAAATAACTTAAAGAGTAATAGCCTTAAAACTAATAATACAATATTAACACATGAAATCCTTGAGTGATGTCACCTCGGCAACCAACAACTTCTATTTTGTTTTTCCTTTAATTAGTATATACATTGTATAAAAAATTTATACAAAATTTTACATATAAATATAATGCTATAAATGCAACGCTTTAGTCATTTTTTCTTGCTTAATTATTGTTATATATAATTTAATACAAAGTTACATTATAATGGATTTAAATATAATTTTAAACATTATCCTATACTTCATTGAAGATAAAATGCCAATAAATTTTCATTTTGTTTGTCATTTATAGCACTCATCTTGGTAGACTCTTTGTACCTTGATTATTAATGTCCTACATATTAAAGGATCTAAGATATCTTTTGTTCTTAAAGATAAATTTTTTCATCAAACAAATTTACAGCCTGGCTACGTCATTACCTTGTAACATCGTTTTTATATTAACCTATAATTCAATCGCTCGATTATAATAGATATTTTTACATAAAAAAATCTCCTTATAATTTCCAGGTTTCAAATACGACAACATTCTAATGGAAGAGTCCGCACAGATTCTTGAAATAGAAACCTTCATACCACTTCTGCTACAAAACCCACAAGATGGTAGGTCGCGTTTGAAGAGGTGGATCATGATTGGAGATCACCACCAATTACCACCGGTGGTAAAAAACATGGCTTTCCAAAAGTATTGTAATATGGAACAAAGTCTATTTACAAGGATGGTGAGACTTGGAGTTCCTTACGTGGAGTTAGATGCTCAGGGAAGAGCCAGATCTAGGTAAAAATATATACATTTTAACTTAAAAGTACCCTCAATAATAACGAATGCAATTTAAAGGTATATATAATCATGTTGTTACAAAAACAAAAATATACAGTACATCATAATGTTGGCTAATTATTATAATTTAGAAGGAATTCTCATTTTTAATAATATTAAATCGAAAATATCTTGTAATATATAAATTATAACTACTATAATACATTATGTACTAAATAGTGTAATAATCCCAGATCTAAAGCAATCGTACCAATATAACATTATCTTTAATTCCAGTATCTGTAATCTGTATCGTTGGCGTTATCGTAACCTGGGAGACCTACGACACGTCTGTCAACTGCCAGAGTACCGCGCGGCCAACGCCGGTCTTAGACATGACATACAACTTATTAATGTAGACGACTTTAATGGAGCCGGCGAGACAGAACCCAGCCCGTACTTCTATCAGGTAAGAAAATAAACGCTAAATTATGCAATAATCATCGTTATAATTGAGCCAACGTTACAAGACAAATTATGTAAACAGTGTCAACATTATTGTTTACTAGCAGCGCCCCGCGGTGTTACCCGCCGATTTCCGGGATGTAGTAGCCTATGTGTTATTCCTGGACGTCAGCTTCCTGTATACAAAATTTTATCAAAATCGATTCAGCCGTTTGAGCGTGAAGAAGTAACAAACATACACACACAAACTTTCGCAATTATAATATTAGTAGGATGAAGTAAAATTAAAAATAAAAACGAATTAACAAAAAAATTACAATATTTAAAATTGACTTATTTATAATTCTAATGTATATTAAAATGTAAATATTCATATTGTTCTAGAATTTGGCAGAAGCAGAATATGTAGTAGCAGTGTTTATGTACATGCGTCTGATAGGCTGGCCGGCTGAGAAGATCTCAATCCTCACTACATACAACGGACAGAAACATCTCATTAGAGACGTTATTAACAAGCGGTGTGCTGATAACCCGCTCATTGGAAGACCGCATAAGGTAATATATAACAATAGTAAATATAGTATGTACATATATATACACGCTTATAATAAAAAAATTGTATAAGAAGTCCCTTAGCGCGGAAGAAGTGAAACTTCGTAATTGTATACAATTCTTATCCACTAAATTTGAATTAAAATACTGTCCTATTAAAATATTTATGTTTTATATTATATATTTAAAGTTTACTTCGCTGCATAACAAGAATACACGCGTATATGATTTGAACATACCGACTTACTCTCTTTCTCTTTCCTACTTTCTACATTTGTCTATCTTTCTCTCTCCCTCAGCGTTATTGAAAGCATAAGAAGTTTCACTTCATGTACTTATTATTATTTATATAAATGCCTATATTTATCATACAATAAAAAAAACAAAAAAGAATAAAAATAAAATATTATTTATATATTATACTCAAAATTATTTAGTTTAGATAGATAGTTATGTTATTATTTTTATTTTAAATTGTTTTTTGTTATTTAATTAGTTTTTTTTATTTTCTGCTTGTTGTCGCTTAACTTTTATGTTGTGCATGCTGTTATCACCTATAATTAAGATACCACTAGTTTTATTTTTTTATTCATGTATCTGGAATGTTTTTAGTGTGTATTTTGTTGGTGATCTAATAATAAATAATAATAATACAGGTGACGACAGTAGATAAGTATCAAGGTCAACAGAACGACATCGCTCTCATATCACTAGTGCGGACCAAGGCTGTGGGTCACGTGAGGGATTTGAGACGTCTCATAGTAGCGACCTCTAGGGCTCGCCTCGGACTGTACATCTTCGCTAGGGCCAGCCTTTTCAGGAACTGCTTTGAATTGCAGCCTACATTCAATCAGGTATATACATTTAGCTATATGAGTACATTTACAGACTATTTCAATCCTTGTGTAAAAGACTGTGAAATTTCTTACTTTATTCGTTATTTTTCGTCTACTCGTATTGATAGGTCCCTTTCCAATCGGTCTTAGATATTCTCTAAATGCAATTAATATATCTAGTCGATAATCTCCACAAAATTACTATCCTTATTGGTTAAATTCTATATAAACCCCATAATAATCTTTTATTTTCAGTTATTAGAGCGTCCCTTACAACTGGAATTGATCCCTGGTGAGTCATATCCAGCTCAAAGGACGCTGGGTGCTGCTGTACCCGAGGAGATGGTGTTGCGAGTGATGGACATGCCTCATATGGCGAGATACGTGTACGATATGTACATACAGACAGTCAGGGACTCAGCTCAGGTGGGTCACACATACTAAACACTTAGAAACTGGTATAAATAGAACCCTAGCTTTTAATTAGTTGTTAAATATTTTCTGTTTCATAAGTTGTCATATTATATAATTGAACAAGCAGTGCCGGCGTTAGGGTGGGGGCGCGATGGGGCGACGGCCCAGGGCGCCAACTTTGGGGGGGCGATTAGTGGAGGTAGGATACTTATAAATGAAAAAAAATTAGGAGCTACATAACTTTCTACGTCCATGTCGTTAGCTCAGGGTCACGCTAAAAGAAAGATGGAATATAGAATTCTTCATACACGTTCAGTGTTCACATTGGTTCAGAAAAAAATTAATATGCGATTTTGATTTCTACAGTTGGGCGCCAAAATATTCTTGCCCAGGGTGTCAGTTCCTCTAACGCCGGCACTGTGAACAAGTTTTGTATGTTATTATCTCCTTCTTCTTCCTGGCAATTTCCCAGCTTTAGCCAGGGTCTGGAGTAGAGGGTTTTGTATGTTGTTATGTTATGTATGTATATGTATGTATAAGGATTTTCTTATCATCTAATGATATTTCTAAACAGAAGGTTGTGACAGTTATTTCGCGTATTTTAATATTGTGACAATTTCTCACGTAAACAACTCCGTCGTTTTGGTTAAGATGATGTGTTGATGAGTAGATTACAAATTGATTTAGGGTCGGAATCGGTCTTACAGGATTTAGTATACATTCACTAAGTATAATTATGTCTGTGTTGAAATCAAATTGTGAGAGTGTTCAGAGGCAAACCGGCCGATGGCTTTCGCAATGGGTTAAGTGGAATCGAGCTGTGTTTATACAGGGTGACTGGTGAATTACTATCAATATTTGAGGACGTGATATTTGACGATCATATATGACAAAATAAAAATTAATATAACATAAATATTAATAAACTTCTAAGTAAAGTTAACCAAAAGTTATGTAATTAATTACGCATCGTATGAACACCCTACAGATTAGGTATACACACACACACACACAGACGCGGCGGCGGCGTGGTGTTGTATCAGCACGCTTCCGCACGCGTTCACACTTGGAACACTTGGAACGTGTACACACTTTATTTATTTATACGGAAATTTGGTCAAAAATTAAGTACCTATTTTTTTTACATAATTCGAATGAGAATCATGTACCGAGTATGCTCCTTAAATATTGATAGTAATTCACCAGTCACCCTGTATAATTTGCTTTATTTACTTTGCGCGTGCAACTTGTAGAAGTCAATGAGAGTTTTAATATCATAGACATATTTTTCATTAGGTGTAGATTTGTGAGAGTCATATCAATTTGTAAATTTTATAAGCATTGAGAAAGGAGTAAATGTTATAGTTAGAGTGGGAATTTTGTAAATACTCGTGTATGTAATTGTGTTGTGTTATTTTTATTATATAAAAGGGTATCAAGCATTAGCCTGATATGCAGTGTAAGTGTAGTGGATGTTTGTTTATTTTCAAGATATTGTTTAAGTTAGGTTTAGTATGTACGGAGGTGTGTGTGTAGTACTTGTGTAAGTCCTATTATTTAGTACATAACAAGCATAAAGTATTTTAAGAAAGCATGTAAGTTACGAGATATACAGAAAACCATTATTCATAACCAGAAAGCAGCGGTTAGAAACGTGTAGTCAGGTTTCCTGAAAGAGTCTCTGAATTTGCGCTCACACGTTATCAAAATTATAGGTGAAATTCTGTTTTTACGTAAGAACACTTTTCCTTACGCCGTCCAGTAGATCTCGTAACTCTTGGAGGGCGCCAAATCCAAAGGAAATGGGGCCGGGTCGCTTTGGCTATTGGGCTTTTTGTGACGAAGTGGTGTGACAGAGGTGTTTAGCACTTAATTTGTTACCTTTGTAAGCTAAGTTGTACCATTTACATTTCGAAAGAAAGTCTAACTTTTTGATGTAGGACATTATTTTAACTATAATAGGGGAGTTCGTTTTGTTGTCTTGCCTACTACGTACTCTATAGATGTCCCATATATCCGCTAGTGATATGGGGCAGTCGATGGTCTTAACAGTCTGTTCACCATGGCGTTTGGGTCATTTCCAGTCTCCCTGTCCTTTGGTGCATTTCTAATTTGTAATTGCTTCTTACGCGAGTCACGCGACATGTCCTCAATTTTTTCCTCAATCAGGTAAATATAATCCCTGTCCATTTGTCTGTCTTTCTCTAGGTTCACTATTTTCCTCTTAAGTTCTTCATTCTGAGCTGTTAGGAAACTTATGGAGTTCTCAATATTTGCGTTTGACTCTTATATCTTTAAATAAGTAATTCTTGTATATATATATTTATATATAATTGTAATCTCGGCATCGACTCCAACGATTTTCATAAAATTTTGTATAAAAATCGATCTAGCTAGGAATCATTTTAAGATTAATGTTATTTTATCAAAAAAAAAATAACTAAAAAAGTCGTTTAAAATATGACTCTTCCTGACATCTATTGGTGAATAGTAATACTACTTTTTGCTAATTGCTTTTACTAATTGCTTTAACGACACATCAGCAGATGGCGTCGTTAAGTATCAGGAAGTCAATGAGTGTTTGTTTTGAGCTTAGACTAAGAAATAAATTGTTGATTTATATTGTTTTGTATTTTCTTAACGTGTTCACTTAAAAATAAAAAAATACACAAAATAAAAACAATTAATTACTAAATACTGAGCAAAGCTCGGTAACCCGATATTTTTTATTAAAGTAGGAGAGATAACTTTTGGTTCTCTAACCTGTGATTCCTTGACATATTTTATTAAACTTCTCATTGCCACCCTCGGGGAAGTACCACCCTCTCACAAAAGATCGGCGTGAAGTAGTCAGTAATAACTGCGTTTCGTCCGATGAGTTAGAGAGCCGGTTGCCCTTTCCCTGTTCCCAACCTTTCCTTGTATTTCCTTATTCCCACCCCTCCCTTTTCCACCACCACCTAGTAAGGTTGGCAACGCTATGCGACGGTAACCACCTCCCATCAAGTGGGCCGTCTGCTCGTTTGCCACTTTTTACATAAAAAAATCTACAGTCATAAGTCATTTATATCTACATATATGTACCCAGGATTCTACATGGAGTGCCCCGGGGTCTGATCGTTCAGCTCGCTCCAAGGAAGCGGACCACCACGTGGCTGTCCACCCGGGGGGTGACAGTGATGATGAGGACTCTACCACCTTCCAACCTACAGATATAGTCAACGAGATCGACGAACAGGAATGAAACAGTTGTGGGAATAGAATTAAGTCCTAATAAACGTTTTGTAATGAATATTTTGTCTTTCTTTTTGCCTGATAAGCCATAGGAATGCCTATTTTTATGGTTAATATAGTGTAGCCAGCTCGAGTTGTGTGCTTTAAATGTCATGAAATCAAAAATAAGATTATTTTAATAATAATATAGTTATCGTCATTATTAATTCGAACGAAAGTAAAGTTTGAATGAGAATAAACTTAGTGTTGCCATAAATATTGTTGCAAAAATAAAATCCTTGAAATATATAAAGCTTATTCGTTAACGCCTGTTATCAATAGCAGCACTCTTCCTTTAGGGAATTTTTTGCTGAAAATCATATGGCTTGTCTTAGGAACTCTCGAACTGACCATTAATTAGCCTCTTCATTATAACCAACACCTCCCCTAGCCATGACAGAAATCGCAGAGTAACCCCTTATATCACTAATTGATTCTAATAATACTCTTTTGACTAATTGGAAAACGTTTATAACTCTATGATAAAAAAAGGTGATTTATGTGATAAAATATATAATACTAATTGGTAAAAATAAATGTATGTATCTGTAGTCTTTTTTAACATAGTTATTGTAAAAACGCTTGAATGTTTTAAAGGAATTAAAGTTGCTTATCGTTTTAAATGATTCCTTCTTATGTCTCTGCTATTATAATATATTAAATTAATTAAATAACAGAAGTTTGGTATTGTTTACACATTACAAGTCAGGGTACAATATATGCAGTCTTATCACAAAAAAAAACATCATAAAAAAATAATAACAATATTTATATAGAATTCAATTCATAAACATAACATTGCATAATTAAAAGAGGCCTTCGATTTCACCGGTCTCGGTGTTCAGATCTATATCGTAGATGCTGGGTCTCGTTGGAAGGCCAGGCATTTTGGATATCTCGCCAACCATAGGAACAACAAAACCAGCGCCCGCAGACACGAAAATATCATTAATACGAAGAGTGAAGCCGGTAGGAGCACCCTTGATGCTGGGGTCACCGGTGAGAGAGTTGGAAGTCTTAGCCATACATATAGCCAGCTTGCCGTAGCCCTACAAAAAATATAACATTAACCAAACAACTCCAATTGTGATTAGATCTAAGATTTTCGCGAGTACTCATTTAAATGATACTAATATTTTCGGATTTTACTAGTGAGTCTCACATCTCGTCTGCCTGTGATCACGGTTGCTGAAAAGTAGCCGAAACGTCGGGAGTATGTAGTTTATAGTCAAAAATAAAAACGCGAAGTAAAATCCGAAAATATTAGTTTCATTTAAACTCCAATTATGTCAGATACGAACGAATTTATATGCTTACCCTATCATTCAAAACTTTAATTTTCTCCAAAACCACATCTGTGTATTCTACTGTCCCAGCTCCGTACATTTCAACAGCGATCTTCTTAATTTTATCTTGAATTGACATTTCCAATGGATAGAGGTATTGGAAGCTCGAAGGACGGTCGCAGGCTTCTATCACCGCGTCCGCAAGTTCCAAGGCACCAGCGCCTCCCTTGGCCCAGTGATCACAAATAACAGCACGGAATGCTCCATTTTTCAATGCATATTCTCTGACCATGTTGAGTTCGGCTTCTGTGTCGTTTCTGCATTAAAATAATCTTTATAAAATATCTTTTTACTAACTAATATAACGATATTTTAATATATTTTGTTTCATACCCGTGTTTATTAACAGCAATAACGACAGGAACGCCAAACTTGTTGCCGTTGCTGATGTGTTTTCCTAAATTGCAAAGTCCTTTGCTTAGCAGTTCTAAGTTTTCCTGTGGCAAAATAAATAAATAGCTTTAAATTTTTATAAGACCTTTTAATAAGTTTTTCGTTAGTGAATTCAAAAAGAGAATATGAGATGTTATAAAAATGTAAGTATTCAAATATTATTCAAATAGAAGAAATTATTCAAATAGAAGAATTATTCAAATAAAAGAATTATTCAAATAGAAGAAAAGACATCGCTCTGACAAAAATTGCAAAAAAACAAGAACACTCATAAAATATTGGCATTTATAATATTGGCGTGATTTTAATTTAAATTCGGCAATATTATATTAGTAATTCTAATAGAGTAATTTTATTTAAAAGTTTGATTATAATATAACGTTCATACTTGGACATAGACTGAGTGTAGTGGTTGTCCAGGGCTGACGGTAGGTCCTCCGCCGTGCATCTTGAGCGCGCGGACTGTGCTCACGATGACAGCGCAGTGAGGGGTGTCGCCGCTCGAACGACACTTTATGTCAAAGAACTTTTCCATACCTAGACAAATTAGAGTTTAGTTTATGTAACGATGCCGAAATATATGTTTTCATTTAATTTTGGTGTCGTTAATCACAAGTTTTGAGTGATTTAACGACAAAAAAATTAAAATAATGTACATTTCCAAACTTATCAAAATGTTTTAGCGATACAAAAAAGTTTAAGTGAAACAATGAACAACAATTTTGACTCTTTCGTTTTATAGTTTACTTATTGTTGTAGACTAATATTAATAAAAGAAATAATGATCACATAATATCTTTATAGCAAATCATACCGATGTCAGATCCAAAGCCGGCTTCAGTTGCCACATAGCCATTTTCTCGGGCCAGTTTCATGGCGATCTTATCGGCAAGTATAGAGGAGCATCCATGAGCAATGTTGGCGAATGGTCCGGTGTGGACCAATACTGGAGTACCTTCCAAAGTCTGCATCAATGTGGGCTCGAATGCGTCCTTAAGCAACACCATTAGTGCCCCTGTAATGCCCTGAAAGTTATAAAAATCTAAACATTAATAATACAGGTTAAATATTTTGGATTAATTATTATTTAGTAGTTTAACTTACAAGATCATCAGCTATTACTGGTTTGCCGTTTGTGTCCAGAGCTACGACCATATTCGCGAGTCTCTCCTTAATATCATTCACATCCTTGCCCAGAGCCAAGACAGCCATAATTTCAGACGCTACAGCGATGTCAAAACTAGTCTCACGGGTAAAACCTTTCTCAGTGGGCGATTGCCCGATGGTAATTTTACGTAAATATCTATCGTTCAAATCCACAACTAAAAAAAAATAATTTATACATAGTAGTTTATAAATTTCTTAATATGTAATTCATTTATTGCAACCCATTTACCTCTATTCCACATAACTTTTTTGGGGTCGATGTTAAGTCTTGCGAATTTGACTCTTTCTTCTGGTGTTAAGGCGTTCGGATCAGTCTTTTCGATTCCCAATCTCTTCAATCTTCTCAACTGAATGGGGGAGAATTTCCTGACTCCTTTAATTTCCGGCACCAAACGATCATATAGAGGACCGTCTTTTTGGGTTAGCTCGTGGAAGATCCTGGCATCCATATGAGCTGCGAGGAGATTGTTAGCAGCGGAGACGGCGTGAATGTCACCAGTAAGATGAAGGTTAAAATCTTCCATAGGGATCACCTATTACCAATAAAATTTCTTTAATCAGATGGAATAGCCATCCAAACACCACGGTAAAACAAATTGCTATATATTTAAACTTTAATTTAATCTATGACAATAAAACAAATCATAGTGGATATTTTGCGTATAGCCCGTTAGACTTAAGCTGAGCTTTGCAATTGTGTGAGTGAAAGTAAAAGTAGAGTTAGACAAAAAACTTTTAGAATTGAATTTTATTATATTTTAAATAGATACATAACATAAGTGCTATGAAATACGCAAAACTTGTAAAAGGCCAGATGGAAATATTATGAATATTATGAAAAAAAAATTATTGATTAAAATAAATTTGAAAAACTATACAAATTCTTATTCACTTGACATTGCGTTTTCATTATTTTATTTTGCTACCGGTACAAAAAGTGAAGTGAGGAAAGTGCGGGGCGGAGTAAAAGCAGAATAATCCGGTTAAAAACTAGAAAAGAACGTGGCATTCAAAAATTTTCATCACACGTACACTATCCGTGTGCACTCACACAAATGCAAAGCTCAGCTTTAATGAAACGCACTATACCTGTGAGTATCCTCCACCAGCGGCTCCTCCCTTGACTCCGAAGGTTGGACCCTGACTGGGCTGACGCATGACGGCGAAGGCATTCCTACCGCGATGAGCACCCAGAGCCTGCACCAGACCGATCAGCGTCGTACTCTTACCCTCACCGAGAGGAGTGGGGGTTATGCTATAATATAAAGGCAAATAAATTTCACGTATGCATGAAGCTTACCAGATAACCTATGTTACAATACATATGGATTTGTTAAGTGTAAAAAAATATAGACAAGATATTATAATATTCTTACAGGCATAAAAGAAAATTTCATGTTGTATCTATTATGTTGCAGGAAACTAACAAATTCAGAAAAATATTGAAATTGTCATAATTCTTAATTTAACATTGTAAACGAATTTATGGTTTGACTTATAATGATTACACTTAAAAAATAAGTGAATTAATCAGAGAAATTAAATAAGATTACAAATTAAGTTAAAATAAATGGTAATAAGTTTCAATTATACAAATCGTTTATAACAATATTTAGCTAATTTTAGATTCTCTATTGATTGGTATTAAATAAAAATATTTCGTTCAAGACATTTTACAGTAATGACTTGTAAAATTTACTTATATTTTATTTCAATTGCCATGCAATACGTAAACATGAATAGTGTTACTGTTAGGCATCCTTTCAACCATCCACTTACCCAGCTACAACGATGTATTTTCCACCTTGTTGATTTCGGAGACGATCAAGCACAGACAAAGATATTTTCGCCTTAGTATTACCATATTGTGACACCTCACTGGGGAACAATCCTATCTCCTCCGCCAGCTTACTAATATATTTAGGTTTTTGAGAACGCGCTATAACAATGTCGCTGTTAAAGAAACAAAGAAATAACTACATTAAAATCACGGTTAAGACGATAATTAAAAATGCAATACATAACGAAGAAATACATAAATGTAATTTTAAATGAATATATTCATGATTTTTTAAAACTGACTATTTTAAATCAAGATATAAAAGCGAAAATGGCGTCTTTTTTAAAACGAAACATAGGAATATTGGACTTTTAGATTCTAAAAACAGACCTTGGAGGTGGTGAAACCGTGCTAAGTCTAAGCGGCTGCAGCGGCCACACGGGTGTAGATATACGTTGGAGTTGCCTGCTAGCAGCCAACACGGTGTTCCTCATCAACATAGCCACAGTCATGGGACCCACACCGCCGGGTACAGGGGTCACATGAGACGCGACCTGCACAGCCTCGGAGTATGCCACGTCACCTACCAACCTTCGGCCGCTGGGTTTTGATGCATCTGGTGAGAGTCACAAGAATTGCTTTTAAGTTTTCTCCTTAGACTTTAATATTAGACAGGCTTTTTACCGATTTTTCTCATTTCAAATATATTCGTATGAAATATGGCTTGTAGCTTCAAATTAAAATGCAGATTTAATCAATTTAAAAACAAACAATACCTTTTTTGTATTGCAAGAAACCTAAATATCTTAAACAATTCTCTGTTATCACGACAAAAACGCGTTTTATACTGTAGTTAACTTGGCAGTACTGCATGAAAGATATCTTGATAGTAAATGGCTCAAAAACATTCAATGGGTTTATTGTTGATAACTTCCATTCATTGTTAGTCTCATATTTTGTAAACACTCTAGCAGTTATTTCTTTAGTATCAATAGAGGCTTATCAAATACATGTAATGTTGCAATATGTTATTTAAATTACATATGTACCTGGGATGGGGTTAATCCCGCAGTCTATTACTACCGCTCCCGGTTTAATCCAAGACCCACGGACCATTTCGGCTCTACCAATGGCTACAACTAATATATCAGCGGTTTTTGTCTGAAAACAAACGAATCTGTTTAGAAGACTTCATTTTGGAATCTATGGATTTAGCTGAAATTATATCAGTTAAAACTTAGGACTAAAAGCAATATTTCTACCCACGATTTCACTTAAGTTCTTGGTCTTCGAGTGGCAAACGGTAACAGTGGCGTTTTCCCACTTGAGAAGTTCAGCTACTGGTGTTCCAACTATCCTACTGCGTCCGAGAACCACCGCTTGCTTGCCTTCGATGGAAATTCCAGTGCGTTTGATCAGTTCTATACAACCAGCTGGGGTGCAAGAAACGAAGCCTGACGTATCACCCAGCGCCACACGGCCTTCGTTTTCGGTGTTTAATCTGATAAAAAGGATTATTCTACATTAAAAATTATCTTTTACACACTTTAGTGCTTTAAAGAGTGGATATTGACCACGTATTTTATTTTCATACAGTTTTTTTTTTCTACTACTTTACTAAATTTGTCAATGCAAACTTTAAAAATGGTTTGGAATATCGTTTTAGATGTCTTTAAAAATATATCTCATACCCATCAACATCTTTTTGCGAGGAGACAGCGTCGGTGATGAGATGCGAGTCGATTTTCTCGACCGAATCCAGTGGCATCTGAACTATTATTCCATGTACTGACGGCGAATCATTTAGACTTGTCAGCTTTGTAAGAAGCTGAAATAATAAATAACAGTTGAATGTACGCTCTAACATAGAAATAAGAGTCTACCTAAAATATTATAGGTACATTTTCTACAATAACCCAGTGTCATCATTCAAAGCAATACTGGATAAGCAAAACGATTGGGGTGCGATACTCTAGAAGTGGTACATTCTAAGTCTGCTCATCATAATTTTATTCAATGTTTTTTTTTTGGTTCGCCTATTACTCTGTCAATTCTAAGTAGATATGAAATTATTGTTATCCCTTTGATATCTTTGTGACTTGGTCAATGAAATGTTTGATAATTTCGCTATAAATCGTAATATGCTGAGCAGTAAACAATTCAAGTTCATATGATGTAACTTATCGTGGGTCAGCTCTGGGGTCATAGATATTATCGAGAAATACAACAACTGTATTACGTTTGTTCATATCAAATTTTATTATTGTATTTTTGACAAAGCAGTAAATTATGTTATTTGTGGAAGTATTTCGTTAGCATTAAAAAAATATTCTTAGTTGCGACATTTTACGTTACATGGGTAAAAAACATATGCTAGTTTCTTCCTCTTTTAATAACCACCGACGCAAAAAGATAGTTATTTAATATATATATTTGACGTCGATGTTTGTTTGTGTGTATGGGTCTAGGACATCTAAGAGTATCGGCTCTATTCCAAAATCATATAAGACATTTTTGATCAATGATTAGTCGATTAAGTGCATCACTCTTATATTTGTTAAACAAAAGTTAATGCTTAAGTTTCTTTTAATAAAAAAAAATTGTTTTATCCATATCAATATTATTTATAATTTTTAACTAGATCTCTGTCTGTAAGCTTTTACAAAATGAAGTGCTGAAGTGACGAGTTAAATTAAGTATTTTTGGAACAATGACTAATATCAACTAGTGTGTTATATGTTCATATATACCATAATGTGTAACAAATTTATATGCAAAGACATAAAAGGTAATTTATATGTATGAACGTAAATCTTAACTCTCTTATTTTATTTTCACACAAAATGAGATTACTTTATTTATTTATTTATTTTTGTACCAATCGAGTATACAGAAAATTATCAATAACAGATGTGTACAAAGGAACATCTTATCTCTTACAAGAGATCTCTTCCAGAAATCCTGATTAATGGGAAACCATTTGAAATATAAAATTTTCGTGTAGGTACACTATCAACAAACTACTGATTAATTATTATAACATTAAGGTAGACTTTTTTTTTTTTTTATACTAATACATATCCCTAACATACATACATTCAATTTACATACATACAAAAATACATATATAAAAATATATAAATATTTATATACATACATTTTATATATACATATACATACACATATATATACACATATATATATACATATATACACACACACACATATATATATACTTAATTCGAAAGAAGGTGTTGCTTAACTCTGATTTTAAAGGTTCTTATTGCAATACCATTGTGGAAAATACCATCTGGAAGAGAATTCCATAGGCGAGCGGCAACAACGGAAAACGAGTTACCATAGGAAGTACTATTGAAATATGGTACCTCAAGACTCTTCGATGCCACACATGCGCGCACTGGTCTTTCACGAGCAGTACAAAACAGAAAACGCTCATGTAGGTAACCAGGGCTTCTATGTTGCAATATATTAAAAAGAAGGGATAGTATGTGCAAGTTCCGGCGAAGTCGGATAGGGAGCCACTTTAACTGACGCCGAAATTGAGAAATATGATCAAATTTGCGCAGACCGTAAATGAACCGAATGCACAAATTTTGAAGTCTATCTAGTTTGTCAAGTAGCTCTTCATTCGCATCAAGATAGCAAACATCGGCGTAGTCCAGGATAGGAAGAAGAAGGGATTGTGCAAGTAAAATTTTTGTTTGGTAAGGAAGAAAATTCTGCAAACGTTTTAGTGAATGCAAAGAGAAATGGACACGTTTACTGACTTCGTTAACCTGAGCCCTCCATGATAAATTGCAATCTATGACTAACCCCAGATTAGTTGCTTGGTCACTAAATGCAATTTGAGTTCCATCATAGACAATTGATGGTACAATGTCCCAATTAATTTTGGTACGTAACTGTCTGCTACCTATTATCATTGCCTTTGACTTCAAGGGATTAACAAGAAGCCCAAAAGATGCGGCCCAGTTCTTAATTTTTTCAAGATCATGATTGATATCATGTATGGTCGAACACAGATTTGATAAGGTGGCGTGTCTATAAATTTGTAAATCGTCTGCATAGAGATGGTAGTGAGAAGAAATGACTTTGGTAATTTCGTTAATGAAAATTGAAAAAAGAAGAGGAGAAAGCACGCCGCCTTGCGGAACGCCAGCAGAGAGATCAGCCCAGTCCGAGGAAGCCTCATCAGACTTTACCATCTGCCGTCGACCACGAAGATAAGATTGGAACCAATCAATCACAGGCAGAGCAAAGTTAAGTGAGCGAAGGATACCAAGCAATACATCAAAGTCAATTGAATTAAAGGCATTGCTAAAATCGAGCAAAATGAGAATAGTAAATTCTCTTTTGTCCATAGCAAAGCGAATGTCTTCAGTGACTTTGAGCAGTGCGGTGGAAGTACTGTGACCGGAACGGAAACCGGATTGAAAAGGACTAAGGAGATGATTATGTGTTAGGAATTCAGACAGTTGCTTATAAACAACGTCTTCAAGAATTTTTGATAGGAGAGGCAAAATAGAGATGGGACGAAATTGTGAAATAGAAGAGGGATTTGATATTTTAGGTAAAGGAATCACATATGCTAACTTCCAAACTGTTGGAAAGGTATTGGATTCTAAGGAAAAGTTTATAATGTGGGTAATAACAGGGTTTAAAAAGTCAAGGATAGGTATTAACATATCCCGACTAATATTGTCATTACCAACAGCCTTGGAAGTGATAGACAGGATGCTTCTCTTGACTTCGCTCTCTGTGACTCTATGAAAATTAAAAGGGATACAGTCAGGCGTGATGGCGTTCGCCATCTTTAACAATGTTTCAGCCTTCGTTGAGGCTGAAATTGTTAAAGGGGGAGTAGAAAAATGTTTATTGAGAGAATTCAGATCAAATGAATGTTGAAAAGATTTAGAGTGATTACCCACGCCTAAAGATTTAAAAAATCTCCACATTTGTGAAGTAGTCAGTTTATCGATGGAGGAGTGGATGAAACGGCGTTTAGCATCTCTACACATCCTATTGCAGAGATTTCGCAATTTTTTGTACGTCGCAATATTGAGGTCAGTAGGATTCCTTTTAGAGACTCTCTTGGCTTTATCACGTTTTACCATAACATTTTTAATAGTTGGAGTAAGCCAAGGTGCAGGTAGATGTTTTACCTTTATTGACCTAAATGGAGCATGCTTGTCATACAACTTTGTTAATGAGTCATTTAAATAGGCCACCTTATCGTCAACATTCGTAAACTCATAAATATTAGACCAGTCAATGATATTAGCGTCGTAACATAGATTTGCAATATTCATATTTTTCATGTTGCGTCTTAAAATTGTTTTAGCCTTGCGCCTTGAGAAGGAGAGTTTATAGTTAACGAAGAGTAAATCATGGAAGGAGAAAGGAGCTGTCAGCTGACCATGAGCTGACACACTGTGAGGGTTGGAGACAATAATGACGTCAAGAAGAGACGGAGTGCAATCAGGTGAAAAATGGGTTTCTGATAGAGGAAGAATAGTGAAGTTAAAAGAAGACACGATAGATTTTAATTTTGTCGCTCTGTGATCATTTTTCACGAGACAAGTGTTTAGATCACCCATTATGATCACATGTTCATAAGAGGGAGATAGTTTTTCAAGAAGGACTTCAAAGGTGTTAAAATAATTAATATTTAAGGATGGACAATAGAGGACCCCTAATAGGAGTTTAGAGTGACGGGAAGAAATTTCTATAAAGAGGTATTCAAGGATGTTAGGGGAAAGGTTTGAGGATTGTTCTACTAACCTAAAGGGTATATTATTTCGTAAGAAAATGCAAACACCTCCACCTCTATGGGAAACTCTGTCGTTACGAATTAAGGTGAAATCAGGTAAAGTGTAAAGAGAGGAAGGAAGAGAAGGTTTTAACCAAGATTCAGAAACAAGGATACCGTCGACCTGCACGTTGCTAAATGATGCGAGAAAATCAGAGTAATGTGCCGGAATACTTTGCGCATTTATATGTACAAGATTAAGACAATTAGAATTGAGGGTAAAAATAGAATTTAATTGTGAATCAAGAGTCGAGCCTTTACCTCAGCCTGTGAGATTTCTCTCGGAAGTTTAATGTGTTCAGCAGCTATGCCGATGTTTTCTGCTGCTTTCAGCTTCGCCCTGATGTAAACGTTGGAGTCCTCTCGTCCTCCGACCTGCACGATAGCCAGCTTTGGCTGGAAGCCAGGGTGCTGTTGACCCATGACCGCCACTTGCTGACGGAGATCATTTTCGATAGATCTATGAAAAAAATATTTTACATAAATGTTTTTGGTATAATAATTTCTAGAAATCTTAACTTATACAAATTCTAAAGACTATTTCAAAAACTTATTTTTAAAGTTATCTCTATAAGTTTTAAAGGTGTTTCTTAACTTATAGAAATACCTTTAAAAAGTATTCTATATATCCTTAAGCAATCTAACAATTAGTTAGCCTGTTCCTACGAGGTATCTTAAGATATTTAGTGTTTTATTTAAGATAAGTGATCCATCTTTTTGGAATACTCTTTAACGTAATTATTTGTTTTAAAAAAAATGTAATTATGTATTGCTAGCACTTTTTTGTATAAAAAATTCTTCGTTTTTTTTTACGTGACCATTCTAGAAACATCTTTTTGTCTGGATCTTTTTTTATATTTATAGATAAATTTACTTATAAAAAACATGAGAATCAGATATATTTAAGTAAATTCTAGTACATATTATATTGTCTGATATATATTTTCTATAATATTAGTCTTACCTAGCTGTTTGTGTACCAGAAATCACTTGAGCAGACATTGTTTTAAGACGACTTTATTTGACAAACTAAAACGAGATCACAACTAACAGTCCTCACATCATGCAACCCTGATAACCTCATGTTTATTATAACGTATGAACAAATATATTATTATATATTTCCAAATTTATATTCATAGATTATAGAAAAATAAAGTTACACCTAAATAATTCTAATAAAACTAATACATATATAGTTAAAAGTACACACCTTAGAGCAGTTTTGCAATAATTACTAAGAGGTTTGAACAAACAGTTAATAGAAAATTTCATTATTAGAACTTTGTTATATTTTTTCAAATCTGTAGCTTAGGATATTATTGTACCGAATATGATTCAACAATGAAGACAGTGTATTGTTTTTATCGTTAGGAAATTATTGAATAGTGTAATGATAAGTAAAGAAATAGTTAAATGAGTACAAATAGTGTTTTGACATTTTGAAGATTTAAATATAACGTTCAAATTTCAAAATGAATTACTCTTTGTGAAGAAATATAAATATTATAGTTTATTGGTATATTAAAAAATTGAACACTAAAATCTTACAATAATGAAATTAAAATAAGTATTATAAATTGAAAAGAGTGCACCAATATGGATAAAATTTTATTGTCTGTTTGTAATATTGAAATAACTGTGTTTTACTACATGCATATGAATATGTTACATACGGTACATACACCAAAATAATATGTTTTACAATATTTGTCTGTCTGTCTGTTTGTTCCGGCTAATCTCCGAAATGGGACCGATTGTGACGGAACTGTTACTGTCCAAAGGTGATGTAATAAAGAGTAATTTATTGTACTTTTTATCCCTATCCCAAAATTATATATTATCACGAGCGAGTGTGATTCAGGACCCACGCACTATGGGAAAATCGCGTATGTTTCGTCTCAAAACTCCGAATCTCTGAATGATCTGTAATTTTGCACACATATACGTGAAAGTATAAGGTTAAATATAAAAATAATATATTTTGAAAATTATGTTTATTTATTTTTTTTTAAATAAAAATAAATATATTTAAATACGTTTTGGCACCGTAGCAGAAAAGGTGCAAATATGCGCAACTTTTTTTTTCTCCTTATGTAAACTAAATCTCGACAGCGGTAAATAGCGGTATAGGGTTAGGTCTCGTTAAAAAAAGTAACCCGAAAATTATACCATCTTAAACTATATTGGTTAGTTGTAATTTATTTATTTATTATACATAATATTATTAAAGCAAGAAAAATTTCAAAAAAATGTGGCGTTGAATTGTAGTAATGTATTGTGCCAAAATTACATCATTGAACATGAGTTAGCTTTGATGCCTTTTATACATTATGGTTTGCTAATTTGCTAATTTGCTAATAATAATTTAAAAAATATATAAAACAAAACTTATTTATAAGACTAAATTAATTAATTAGTTTTACTCCATAACGACTTTCATGTGAAAGGGTTTTGAGACGGCCTTGTTTGGGGCTTTCCCATAGTGCCACGCCACACGGCGTTTAAAAGGTTTTTCATTGTTTATTATTTCTTTTTTTACGCAGACGAAGTCGCGGGTAACAGCTAGTAGTCAATATAATTTCTGTTATAACAATAGTGTAATTATATAATTAGAACGTCTTCTGAATTCTTATGTCAAGTATTAAATTTTCTTAAACAATATTCTTATAATATTATTCTATAAATATTTTTATTTTAGGATTTATAAATTCAAATATAATTTAAAATATTTTTCTATTTTTAGTTAAAAAATATATACGTAAGCCAAACAAACAATTGCTCGTGTTTGCTATAGGTAGATTTATTCGTATGAACATTGTACATAACAAAACCAGAAAATTAATTTTTTGTATTATATTCCCTAAATTAATACAAAAATTTGTTTATAGTATGTATTATAAAATTTAAGATATTCCAATATCTCTGTATCTATCATAAGTAAAATCTTATTAAATTAATATAACAGCGATGATATAAACAAATGTATGTATATGTTGTATATTTGCTACAACCGCGACTTCTCTCGTTCTGAATAGGTATTACTCATTTAAATGAAACTAATACTTTTCGGATATAGTATCACGGTTGCCGAAAAATAGCCGAAACGTCGGAAGTATGTAGTTTTTTCACAAAAATAAACCGCGTAGTAAATACGAAAAACATTAGTTTCATTTAAATGAATAAAAATCCCTAAGGTCGCATTAGGTATTATTGATTTTGTGAAATATAAAGATAAATTAAGTTTCTAAAATACAAGTTCACATAGTAATATGTAAGATTTTCGCGTGTACACATTTAAATAACACTTTTATCTCGTTTGCCCATGACCACGGTTTCTGGAAAAGAACCAAAACGTCAGGAATGTAGTTTTAAAATTCTTATTGTAGCTATAAGTAAGTTACTTTTTCTATTAGCTTTATGCCAATGAAAGTTTTGACAAAATCGGTGCTGCCGCTTGAAAGATGACAAAAAGCTAAAAAGATTAATAATTGTAAAAAAATATTTTAGTAAATGATTCATATTCATTGCATAAAAAGCATATATTGAAGTGATAATTTCCTACGGGTGGGTAAACCGCTTCGTAACGTAACTCGTAACACGTAACTGCACCTCTTGGTCTGGTTTCCCGTTCTTTCACGTATACTGAATCAGTATGCGGCAAATGTGTTTCAAGTAATATTCAATTTATTCATATACAAATTATCAATTTAATGAATGTATAGATAGATAATAATTGAAGTAATAACCTAAACTTTTTATAAGTTACCCAATTTCTATATTAAATACTTTTAGTTATCTCCTCTTGAAAGCATTCTGATACACACAAATTTTATTTTTATCACAAAAAACACTATTTTATTATAATAACTTTTATTTTTTAGTGCACATGACGTAGGTTATTCAATAGGAAAAGTTAAACACATCGTCTGTTTGTGACGATGCAATCTTGTCGTAAACATACTAAAATTCATTTAGAATTAACAAATTTCTATATATTCTATTAAAACACCTAAAAATTGCCGCCAAAGAGAAAAACGTTTACTTGAGTGTTTGTTACTATGCTGCCTTCCCGGGAGCAGCTTTTTAGATGAGATAAGAACAAGAAAATAAATTTCTTGTTATTTCTTTTAAATAATCGATGCTCATATACCCTAAATAAAAAAGTGTTAAATAATTAGAAAATGTAAGCTTTAAGCTTAAAATAATTTATTTAAAATTGGTAGAAAGATAAATTTTATTATTTCTCTTTATAGGATCTTCAATATCGGCATTCTGATGGAAAGATACGTTTCTTCACAGTTGCTATTTTTATCTTGTATAAAGCAATCAAAATTGCAATAAACAATGTGCAGAAAATAATGTTAACATTTAAATAAAAAGAATATTTTGGATTACTTCTTATTTTAAACTACTTTCAATCTATTTGTAGCAACCGTGATTACTGTTTAGTTTAAAATAATAAAAAACGCGTAGTAATTCGTAAATATTAACTTTATTCAAATAAATATCCGCGAAGAAAAAATGTCGGGTAGTTTTAATAAAAATTTAATGAATACATTCATCATTTTTTGTAATTGGCAGAAATTTTGAGAAACACCCTTAAGTTAAATTGCAAATTCCTAATAAGATTTTTACAAACAAAATGTAACATGTATTTATATAGCATTTTATGTACATATAAAAAAACTTTTGCTCGCGCACCTATTTTTAAATAAATATTTATATTAATGTTGATATTAAATAAAGTATTGGGGGATAAGAATTTGATCCTATCCTTCCTTATGACAGATTATTTTCAATATAAACTTTTGAAATAAAGACTTATATTTAAATTACTAATTTCCCCTATTTTGTTATTTAAAAATAATGATATGTTCACAAACTAGTTCTCAATTCAATAATTAGAATAGAATTCTATGAAATATTTATTTTCATTACATATATTCATTAACATTTATTTAGTCTGTCTAATTTTAACAACGTTTTTTGATGTTGTACTTATAAAAACTTAACATTAAATATTTAGTATATTATATAATATCATAATTTAGGAAAGGAATTTAAATATTTCCTTGACGATTAGCATTAACATCTTAGTAAAACGTTTGTTTGAAAATATAAATAAAAGTATTCAAAAATATAAACACAATTATTAGTACAAAGCACCTATTAGTACTTAAAAATTTAAGTTTGTAATAGTCAGCTTGAAATATTGAAAAATACCGATGGAAAACTAAATTTAAATATGTAAAAAAAATTGTTAAACAGGTGGCAGTTAAGAATTTGAAGACAAGTGATTTGCATAGAATATAATAGAAACAGTATTGAAATTAGCATAACGAAATATACTAATTAATTATTACATAAACACTACAAACAAATTAATTATTTACTCACATTATTTCAGCGTCAATGTCGTCCTGATTTTGCCATGTCATTTTATCACAATATGCAAATAAAATTTATATATTTTTTTGCAAAACTTCCGCGACGTGTTGTTACCGTCGAAGCCGGCACTCAATGAAGAATATTCTCCGACTCAAACTGGTTTTGGTACAAACAAATAAAAGCTGTTACACACGTACCCACTAATATATTCATTGCCGAATATTTTACAAGCACGACACTAAAATGCTAATGTTTGTATAATTCACTTTTATTATATCATGTTAAAAATGTCGCACGTGTGGCATATGCTTTATATTAATATCAAAAACAAATTTTATAACATTTTAAACATTAAGTAATCTTATTTTTTATGATTTAGGAAAAGAAGGGTCCTTCAGCAGTCAGTACAACTGTCTATATTTATTATGCAATCAGCATGCAATGAGCTAGATCTAATTATTTATTCAATGAAAATAATTGAAATAAAAACTAACCATCGTTACAACGTGATTAGCAACAATATATTTAATAAATAGTGAGTGTTAACGCAAATAATATGCACAGTTTTCATTCTTATAAGTTACTGTATAGTTACAAATTACATATGATAGTTTGACTTTTAGAAATTGTAAAGCATAGTTAAATATTCTTGTAAGCTATTATAAGATCAATTGTTTTATATATTCAAGTTCTATTGAAACTGAAAGTGACAATTCCCTGTTTAACTGTTTGCCCGACTTTAATTACAAGTCCCGTTAAGAAAAACCTGGTTTGTAATACCAAGTACGTCAGTTTAATGTATGAAAGTGAGTGTGGAATAGATATAAAGGATATATATATATTGAGTAGAGGTTATGGTAGTTATTTGGTAAAAATTCCGTTCGTTTCGGATAGAAAATTATAAGAACCATAAAAGGCTAGCAGTGACATTCATTATATGACCACGTGAAAACTCAGTTTACCTATATACATATATATTTTGTATTCATCCAGAATCTTTCTTATATTATCTTTAATTTTGTTACCACCGTTATATTTTTACGATAAAAACTCTGCGTAAAAGAACATGTTAAAGTTTTTACTAACAAGTAATTATAAGAATACTAGCTTTGCGTCCGCAATTTCGCCCGCGTGGAGTTCGGTTATGTCGCGTTTCCAAGAGAACCTTTTGAAAGTCTGGGATAAAAACTATCCTATGTTCTTTCTAAAGGTCAACTCTATCTTCGTACCAAATTTCATTAAAATCAGTTCAGTGGTTTAGACGTGAAAGCGTAACAGACAGACAGACAGAGTTACTTTTGCATTTATAATATTAAGTAGGGATCTTGATACACCCTATAGATATCATTGTTAGATTAGAGATATTATTGTTAAGGAATAATAAATTAAAGCAACCTTTTTTCCAAATAGCTTCATTTCTTATTATTAACAAAATTACATGACGATTGAACTTAACTATAATGAAACAAAAAATAACAAAAATATCACTTTAGATAGATTCATAATAATTATGAAAATACACGTTTAACCTAACAATATATTTATTCTCAGTTGTCAGTAAATTAATTTATAATCTGTGGACATTTGTCAAAAACACTCGAGTATTACAAAAAAACAAAACAATATATGTATGTCAAGTCACAATTAGATCTAAAATCAATAAATTTCAAATGAAATTATAAAAAAATATAAGTACGGCTATATGATATAACACAGAAACACAAATATATATACATATATATGTATATATGTCATTTTAAATACTTTATATGAATGTCAAAAAAATTATATAGCAATTTTATTTATTAATCTATGATAAAACATTTTTGAAGTCTTCCTCTTTATCGCGATGAGAGTTTGAACTAAGATGAATCCTCATCGAGTGTACCGGCATGGGCGTTGATCCACACAACTTGCAGACCAAAACAGTATCATTAGACACCAACGACCTGAAAAAATACATTTATATTAATAGAAATATACATAAAGATATCTTAGAGTAAGTAAAATAAAAATCAAATTTCAGTATTAATATTTATAGGTATGATTTGAACCTATGATCTCTTGAATATCGTTTCAGTCACTTTGGTGACTGAGCCATCGTGTCGTACTAATTAATAAAACAAGTGGCACGATTTTCCAATGAGTGTAGGCTCAAATTCTTCTTGTGTTCAATATGTTACATTTGAAACCTTAATGGATAAATATATGTTATTCTTGAGATGTAACACTTTTGCGAGTATTTATTTAAATGAAACTAATATTTTCGAATTGTTAAGCGTAAGTTTATTACTTAAAGCTACATACTCCAGACGTTTCTGTTATTTTACAGCAAACATGATCAAGAGCAGACGAAATAAGAAATTTCATCGAATTGATAAAAACGTTTAGTAATCAGAAAATATTAGCTTTATTTTAATATTATTCTTAGTCAGCTAATATATTTCCTTTAACCAAAACGTCGGGAGTATGCAGTATTTAAAAATAATAAAATACGCATAATAGTAAGAGAATATTAGATTCATTTAAATGAATACTGAAAATCTTAGATCTCATTCGTATATTTCTGCACTTATTAGTTCCCTTACCTGCTAACTTTCATCTTGAGGTCATCATTATCTCTTTTCAACGCTAATAATGTCTCTCTATCTTTAGGTCGTAATTCCAAAGGCGAGTGTAATGAATACACAACTGTTCGTTCCATCATATCAGGTATAGTGATCTCAAGTAATTCATCTTCTGGTATTGATTTCCATTCCCAGGCGTTAACAACGCTTTCAGTCTCGCGATGCTTACGACGTTTCAGAAGCAACCTGTGGTTAAAATGTTTTTTTTTGACAATGCTTAGGTCATGTAAGGTCGGGTGTAATAAAATCTACCGGTGATATCTGGTTACATCGAAAATATCATGTCATGACTCGCAGATAGTATATTTAATAGCATGTTTTTTTATTGTTATCTGCATGTTATAAAATATCATAATTTCGACTACAATTTTATTAAGTTGATAGCGATATTAAAACTTGCGATGCCGATTTTCTAGATAGTTACAAATACGGCAAAAATACCACCTATTAAGTCATGAATAGTGTAAAATACCCGCAACTTTACTATTGAATTCAAAACGTAACAAAATTGTAATACATGCTTTATCCTTTACCCTAAACATTTTAATTGAAATACTACGTAATGTTTACTAAATTGATGTTATAATGTTTCATATTACATTTGATGGTTCATAAGACATTTCTACAGAATTTATAGACATCAAACAAACATCTTAAGACACATACTTAGTGAAATCTTTCGCTGGTATACATATACTAACATTAATATAAAACATTATTACACCACATAAAATATGGATTTAGGTTACAATTTTTGTTATTTTTTTAGTTAAAATTATACTGGTTTTCAAAGTTCAAGTTATACTGGTTAGTTATGTATCTTGGTAACTCACTGCATGAGGTCTTCTCTTATATACTTGGGCACATTGACTCTCAACTCATCGTCCATGGCCGGTGAGTCTTGACCCTCGCTACAGTACATCATGTAGTCCATCAGGTGCCGGATATGGTTTATCTGTAGAGTAATGATTTATACATTAAACATTTATTAGGCGGTTTTACTTAAAAATATATTTATATAACAATATGTTTACAATCAAACTGATAACGACTTTGTCCGTATTGTTTAATATATTAACAAAGTATTCTAATGCACGACAGAACACATGTATTTTAATTAAAACTTTGTGTATACTAACAACTTCATATTAAATGAATACATAGCCGTATTTTTATAGACAAGAACTAAATGTTATTGAAATGTAGCCAATACGTCACAAACATTTTAATTTTAACTAAATAGATAAATCTTTCTTGATATTTTAATAAAATAAAAACAGTCATCATTCATCAGCTCAATCATTAGTATTATAGAAGCCATATGTATGTATTTATTTATCTCCGTGTATGTTACAGACAATCCTGCTATTGAGTGTGCATGTGTGTGTGTCATCTGGCTGTAAGTTACATAGAAAAGATCAAGTTTGTGTGTGTGTGTGTATATCTTACCAGTCCTATATCATCAACGGAGAGGTCAGCGTCTACATCAACCAGTAGGTCATGTTCAGGGAACCTCGGCCGACCGACCTCGTCAGAGCCGAGCCCGCACAGCACACTCACGTAACGGGACGCCGTGCTGTCACGACGGAGTTCCGCTCTGAAAGAATACGATATATTATAAAGGGTGTTCTGATACTTAGAAAGTGGATATACCACCTTTTTTTCATTTTAGTAAAACAAAATGTTGATTAATACCTAGAATTATTTCACATATAGGTGAAGGCTAAAAACACTGTTTAAGGACAAAATCATCAAATGACCCTTGCCCTGTGTGGGCCAATAGGGAGTGTCAGAATCTTACTGTCTAAAAACCTCCGTGCTCAAAGCCATAATTGCCGATACATCACAGCTCTTACAACAGAAACCCGGCAAGTTATTTTACCACCTACGACTTGATTTAAATTGTCAGTCAAGCGATCAAGCGATCACGTCGAACTAATACTAATAAGGAACTAATAAAAGGAACAAAACACACTAAATCAAGTAATTATAAAGTAATTTTTACTCACTCTGGACAAAACAGTAAGGCTATAATAGCGGGCAGTCCTCTTATATTTGGCATCATCGTCGTATTTCTGAGTGATAGCGTACTACTTGATGCACTTTGACCAACCTCCGCTGACACAAGCAACCTTAAAACACAATATTACTATACATACTAGTTTTTCTGGCGACTTCGTACATTTTAAATTATTAAATCAATCCTTAAATTGTGTAATAAATTGATGAGCTTTGTTATTTAAGTGTTTTGAATAACCTTTCAGTAGTGTGTGAAAACAAGTAATATTTTCAATTATATAAAGAAATGACACATTTCTCCTTGTATAGTAGTAGCGTTTTCTCTTTATACTATGTTAACAAATTTTGATCTTTATATAGTTGTAATATGGTTGAATGTTATATTACCGCTGGTACACCTCCTGAGGTTCAGTATCTAATAGCACGGAGTTCACGGAGCTCCATTCGACCAACACTTGCTTATTACGACTCGCGTACATCAAGTTGTGGAGAGACATTTCCAATGGGCTGGAAAAAAACATATATAAGAATAAGCAAAGTAAAACATATATAAGAATAAGTAATATAAGAGGGTTGGAGACGAAAAACGATATATAAGCTGTTGTTAGAGGAAATCGGAACTTTTTTCGTTTAATTCGCGTTGGTGTGTGCGATTAATCGATCGTAGATTTTCGATGGGTGTTTAAATCTTTCGTTTATTATATTGAAACTTATTTCACGATAAGTTTAAAAAACATAGATAAAAGTTTTTATTTTAATTAGTAGTGCAATTGTATCGAATATTATTTTTAAAAAGTAAATTCTGATCTTATTTCTAATAACACAATGTACTGATGAAAATAAATATGTATTAACTTATTTTATGGAAGTATATCTAAGTTTATGTTATCGAGCAGTGGCGGCTGTACCTTAAGTGCACTCGTGCGCTGAACCACCAATTCAAAAGATTTAAAAATACCAATTATTACTTCATCTTTATTTTTAAATTACCATTTTAATATTTAATTTTTCAACATATAAAAACGTATAATAAATTAAATTTCCTAATTATGGTCAAAAGTTTTAGCGCTTCACTAAACTCATATCGTGGGCTCCGGCGAGTGCACGAGGACTGCCAATACATCTTGTATGAGATACGCATTAATACGCCTGGCGCGTGAAACAAAAGATAGGTCATAGAAATGTACCGAGTAATGAGTCGGTTCTCGAGCGCCGCACGAGCGACCGAAGATTACCGAGAACACCCGATGTATGACGAATTGAGCCATGATTGACATCTCGTTATATTGTTTTGTTGCATTTTCTAATTTTAATATTTTAGTAAAGTGCACCACCGGTTCGATTACCCACCGGCCGCCACTGTTATCGAGACTTGCGATTGCAAAAGGATAAGTTTAATCTTTCATCAAAAATTACAAATGTTTAAGGCATATTTTCTTTTAGAGGAACAAAGTCGGTTTGGGCAAAGCTATAAAATTATAGAACCTTATTTGTAATATGTATGTGAAATTTATTTAATGATAAAAAAATATGAATATCAGAGTTATGTTACATGATTTTTATTATGTCTAACTGTCGGTGAGTTCCATGCTGTCATAAAAACAGGGTAAGTATTGGACGTTACATAAACAGATAAAATAAAAGAAATACAACACTACAAAACAGAAAAACTGTTTTTTCATTAATACTTAGTATTGAAGATAAGATTTATAATAGAAGACAAATTAATAAGAAAATAAAGTACTAAAACAATTAACGTTTTGGTCATAAATACATAAATGGATATAGTTTGTAAACTTATGTATTGCTCAATAAAAGTTATAGTATAAATAAATTAATATTTCAAATATTAATAATATGTATTCACCTATACGGTCCTTTCAAACAGACATCAGATATGCATTCCCTGTAGCTGGGCGCTTCTACCTCCCGTAGTTGAGTAAAAGCTAGTTCTGTTTGTTCCTTGTTGTACGCACGCTTCTGCGCTAAATTCAAATCTGTGGCCATCTCTCTAAGGTCGTGATTCAGCTGGCAAAGATAATTAACAAATTGAATAAAAAATTCACTAACATCGGCTACAAATATTATATTATATATTATTTTACCTTAGAATCGTAGCTTTCCTCACATGGTACAGCATAACCTTTGTCTAATAGCTCCTTATTTATATTAATCTTGCCACCTTCTGATAATAATTCTATGGAGACTACACCATGGGCCACTGAATAAATCTATAATAAAACAATATAATTATTACATTATTCGGTTTAAAATTAATGGTTTGAACAAATGAAAACTAAATTAATAGGCAAGTGAATATATAACATTGTCGTTAAAACATTTAAGTGACCAATATGATTATCTTTATATTTCAATATTAAAACTTGCTAGTCAAATTGTATGAATATCAATAACATATAAAAGTCAAGACTATTTATTAGGTTTACATACGCGTAAAATATTAAAAATAAATGAACATCGCCGGGGCAACATCGTTGTATGAATAAATTATCATAACTCCGCGGAACGAACACCAAGCCGTGTGAACCAGAAGATTCCTGATACCACACAAGCAATGGAATGGCATTGCTATCCTAACATCGGGGTAGTCATATAGTCTTAGGTATAGGTTATAAGTTTTAATATGTAATTATAATAATAATTATTATTATAATATACATATTAGTAAATTTCGTAATATTCATGGAACCTCTGATTGCTGTTAAACACACCCTGTTCCCATATAGCCCACGTTCTAATCCTGCTAATATTATAATTGCGAAAGTTTGTTAGCGTGTATGTTTGTTATTTCTTCAGGCTCAAACGGCTGAAGCGATTTTGATAAAATTTTGTATACAGGAAGCTGACGTCCAGGAATAGCACATAGGCTACTTTACATCCCGGAAATCCGCGGCTAGTATTTGATATTTGTTAAACCTCATATATATGTTATTACCTTCCCAATGAGTCTCCCCTTCCCCACTAGTTCCGTGAACAGTCTTTGTGCCGCTTGTGACCAGTGTGTGTGTGAGTCTAACACTGCAGTTGGAGCCAGCCCCGCCAGTCTGCAGCATAAAGCCAGCGGCCTGCAGCTGATTTGCGGCAGCGCGCGAACACTGCTGCGAGATACGCGACCCGAACTGCCGTAGTCGATGTACAGCACCTGGAAATTATAAAGAACATGAGAGGCATATAAAGAGAATATAAGATATATGTACATATAAATATGATTTAAACTAATAACTCATACGAGTAAACGACGCTTAATCAATGTATATTACAATACATTTGGTCGTTGTGTAATATGCATGATAAAAGTAAACCTTAGATGAGATCCAAAATCAGATGTTGCAGTCGCTGTAATAGTGAGATCAACAATTTAAAGGCAATATATAACGAATATATGTAAATATATATATTTGCATAATTTGTTACAAAACACACTTTATAAATTTTATACAGATAGTTAATAATAAAAATCCGTCATCACAAGCGAGATAAGAACTTACAACCTCTATAAGACATTCTAGCTCCTTTTGGATACTAACAATATATTCCGAAGAAAAGTATGTATTAAAAATATTTACTTTACTAGCTGACCCGGCAAACATTATTTTGCACTATAAAAAAATAGGGGTTGGTGATAAAAAAGTAAAAATTTTGGGTTGTATGTATTTTTTAAAGCTACATTATAAAAAAATAAAAACAAAAAAAATCGTCCGAAAATAAAAAAAATAAAGACGAACAACCCTTATCATTTAGAGGTATGAAAAATAGATGTTGGCCGATTCTCAAACCTACTAAATATAATTACAAAATTTCATGAGAATCGGTCAAGCCATTTCGGAGGAGTACGGGAACGGGAAAAATTTTATTTATAAGATTAATATAATCTTCACCCTGTATAACCCGTACCTCTAACATGTCTCTCGGCAGTATCTTAGTAACCCTTGCTCGGTACATCAATGTGATGGCACCATCAGCGTATGGTGCTGCCACCAGGTCATCCACAGCTACATCCTCAGTGATAGCCAAAAGAGGCCTAGAGTTCAATGACCTCAAGATATCCCGAAGCTCATTCCTGGTAGACTCATCATCGTGTTGAACCCAGAACTTGCCTACGTTGATAAACTAAAAAAATACACAAAATTAAAATTTAGTATAATTGAATACAAATTAGGCATTCTATATAAATAATATGAATAACAGTAAAAAAGAGAAAAAAATTGTACTATTTCAATATATATGATAGCGTTTACAAAAAATTGTTATTGACTTAGCCTCATTTTATCAAAATAAAATGAGACAACGCTTTATTTAGAAACGCACGTACGTACGTAACGTGCATATATGTATATTGTACCTGAGAGATTTTCAGAGCGAAATGTGTGTCGTCTATGTCCGGCAGACTTGGCACCATAGCGCTTAAATCCTTACTAACGACTTTAGACTTCATTGCTTCTGATAGAGCTATTGCTTTCTCCAGTCTGAAAAATAGAAAATGCATTATGGATCAAATAACGAGAGTATCTCATATTGAAAGTTCTAATGTTTGTTTACTGTTGGTAATACATGTTAACGTATAGTAACAAAACTTTATTGTTTACTTGTGGTAACTAATTTTGTTTACTTACGGTAACAATGGTATCCTTATATCCATTTTAAGTTGTCTGGCTTTGATAGCTTTATATACAGGTAGCAAAACTTGACCGGGAATTGTCGGATCCTAGAAGACAAAAATACAATAAATTTTATTCTTTAACAAAATGTACATAATAATTTTTACTAAATATATTTTTTACTTACGCCTCCTTTATTATTGTCAGTCTTCGAGCTTTCATTGTCTTGGAATGTTAGATAAATTTTTCTGTAAAATTTGAAATTTATTTATTTAAAATGAGATTATTTAAATTTATGTATATTATTGGGTAGTATAGAACTAAACCTACACACACAGTCATATATATAACGTCGGGGATAATGCAAAACTATTATAATTAACAATCAAAAGAAAATTTAAGCTGAAATATTTTCTAAATTAACTACTTTCAAAAGTAATTTTTTCACAATCAGTAATAAATTAAACACTAAATAATTACTATAATGTATTATATAATTTAAGATAATTTGCTTCAAATGCAGATACGCGAAATTATCCAATGCTAGTTACGCGGTTTTGCTTTATCCCCGACTATTTTTATCATCAATATTACAAGTGTGTGTTCATAATTATTTATAATATTTATTTATTTATTTATTTATATACTCTTTATTGCACACCAATATAGACAAAAATAATAGGAGTAAAATAAAGAAAAGAAAAATGTACAATAGGCGGCCTTATTGCTAAAACAGCGATCTCTTCCAGGCAACCTTTGGTAGAGGAAAGAGACAGGATGGTAGGGGTGTACAAATTATTTAATACATAAAAAAATAGATACAATATATATATGTATATATGTATGTACCTGCTATTTCCATCAACAGTGACCCTAGGCTCGTCTCCCAGTAGCCTATAGACCGCTGCTCGTACAGCGGCTTGGTACAGCTCGGCCGGCTGTCCGTCCGGCAGCCCCCGCAGGTACACCGCGCCCCGCGGGTCCAGCCCCCCCACCACCTTCACCGCGTCTCGCTCACGGGACTCGTCCGTACTGGCTTGGGTGAAGTATTGAGGGTAGAACGCACCCGCTAACACAACCTGCCAATTATAATTATGTTTACATAATCAGTGGTGGCCTAGTGGTTAAAGGGTCCGCCTCTCGTTGCCGAGGGCGCCGGTTCAAGCCTGGCAAGTACCAATGTGACTTTTCCGAGTCATATGTACCTTCTGAGAATATTTAGGCACCACTGACATTCGGTGAAGGAAAACATCGTGAGGAAACCTGGACTTATAGTTTCACAATTATAAGTTTGAAATCACCAACCCGTCTTGAGCAAGCGTGGTGATTAATGCTCAAACCTTCTCCATGTGAGAAAGAGGCCTTGCTCGGCAGTGGTCTCTGACAGGCTGATGACGACGACTTGTTATGTGACGGTGTCATAAGTAGTCGTTTAATTAAAATATAATTATCTTTATACGGTGTAATCGTAGGACGCCTTAGCTTCTGGGCAAATTCGTCTATTCTGGGTCTGACTCAGCAGTTTCGTGTGAAGACAGTTTTTGGTTTTAGGCCTCGGCCTCGAATTTTGCGGGCAGCGGAGCGACGGCGGCGACGGCACGGAAACGCATACTGTTCTCCAAACTAGCGGGCAGCGGGCACCGCTGTATTCGAGGGTCGGTCCATTTGATTATACGCGTAAGATCCTGCCGCTCCCGCTGCCGCTCCGCTGCCCGTAAAATTCGAGGCCGAGGCCTTATATTTCTTTTATGTTTTTAGTTTATGATATTTCTTTTAAAAATTTCATTAGATTATTGTCACTATTTGTTCAACCTTTGTGCAACGTAGTCGAACCCTAGTTGTAGTTTACTTTATAATTAAATTAAGTGAAATAATTTTGGTTTCATTGCATCCACCGACCGTCGAAATCATAATTTACCATTCATTGATGTAGTGTTTATATCTAAATAGTCCTACAATTACTATGTTCACCTTCGAATTGTTTACGTTTCGTTAATTACGCTGAGAAATATTTTTTTTATAACGAGCTATTTGTATCATATTCTTTTTTATTATTTTTTTCATTATAAGTTATAGTATATATAATTGTTAATATTATGGTGAAAGAGCCTAGCTGTGGTCAAGTTACTATAGTTCGAACATGGTCTTTACCGGGAATGTACTCGTACAACCCTCTCACAGAAAAATCGGCGTGAAGTAGTCTTAGTGAGTGAGAGAGCTAGTGGCCCCATTTAACAAAAAAAAGAAATATACATATACTTCATATATACTATATACAATGTGTAACATAATTAACGCACATCCTGAAAGTAGTTTGTTCAGAATCGGTATCTGGATCGAATTTTATAGTTTTTTATGTAATCATTTTTTTCTCAAATTTAGATAGAACTAAGTAAATTACAGTCATCCTACGCACGCAACACCAACAGCGACAGTCGGCACACATCAAATACCTACGCACGTGTCCATTGACCTCCTAGATCAGCTGATTTGACGCCACTCGACTTTTTTTTGTGGGGGTAAATTAAATCGCTAGTTTATAACACAGAGACAACAAGTTTCGAGGAACTAAAAAATAAGATAATAACCGCCTTTGTAAAAGTGAAAAGTAACACTGCGGTATTTCTTCTATATATATAAAAATGGATTGCTGTTCCTTAGTCTCGCTAAAACTCGAGAACGGCTAAACGGATTTATCTAATCTTAGTTTTGAAATGTTCATGGAGGTTTAGGGAAGGTTTAAAAACTTAAAAAAATTGGTTCATTTCCGGGAAAACCTTAAAAACAGCCCTTTTCTATTTCCCATACAAACGGGTTTTAAAATATTAGATTTGACAACTAACTAATATGTCAATCATTATGTTGCTCTTTAGAACACGGAGATTTATGGCTTAAAGGTAAACTCCAAAAATATAAATAGAAAAACGTAACAGATATTTCTTGATTATAGAGCGATACGAAGTTCGCCGGGTCTTCTCGTCTAAAATAAAACCACAATTGCGGAAACGGTCATTAAAGAGCATTGAACAAGGAGGTGGACATTTTGAAAATGTTTTAAAACGACAACGCCGTGCGAGTGCATATTACACTGTAAGTTTGTTTATGATCTTTAAATTATTGTTAATATTTTGATTCACACCATTTAAACACGCCGACTTTGTCGTAGGTATTGTGGTGTCTAATCAAATCACGCGTTATCAGCTGTTTAATAATTTTTATTTACAAATTTAATTTAACAAATCAGTAATTATAAAATACTAGTTTTTGCCCGCGACTTCGTCCGCGTTAGTTTGGCCAAGAGTAATATATGTAGGTATAGCTGACCAGACGAACTCTATTCCGTTTTAGAGGCCATAAATAATCAGGTTTCTCCTGTTTCAATCAAACAGAATGATTGACATATTAGTTAGTTGTCAAGTCTAATGTCAAAAACAACGTTTGTATGGGAAATAGAAAAGGGCTGTTTTTATGGTTTTCCCGGCAATTATTCCAATTTTTCTCACCTTTTAAACCTTCCCTGGACTTCCAGGAGTATGTCAAGACTAAAATTAGCCAAATCAGTTCAGCCGTTCTCGAGTTTTAGCGAGACTAAGGAACAGCAATCCATTTTTATATACAGGGTGTATGAAAAACTGTGTCAACCCTTGAAGGCATGTATACATATAAGTATAAGCTTGTTATAAAAAATAGTATAACTTAAAAAAAATCAAGCAGAGGTCAGTTACAGTGCATAGGCTAAATAAGTTTAAAATCGACATTATTTGAAAAAATGTTTCAAACATCTGACGCAATACAAGGTCAAGGCCCCGTATAGTCGCGAAGACGCATGCGGGGCCTTTGATCGCAGGCGCCGGCCGCCGGCGTGGCACACTCGTCTTTTGTTAGTGTTACGAATAGAAATTTGCAAGTTTAAAAATTAGGTTTATCGATAAATATTCTATCGACATTTTCAATATTGCTATAAGTAGTTATGCTTTTCTTTAGTCATTTAAAGTAACTTTTATAAATAATAAATATTATTAATCAATATTATAATTTGGAACTTCTTCAGGTAAATTAAATATGTTGTATTATTAGGATAAATCGTTAATCTATTTCTGTTAGAAATGGTGTTTTACAATCAAAAATAATACTAATGTGTGATATATCAAAATAAGTATCGAAACAATATGAATATTAAATATTTATTTATTGTTATGATTTTTTAAATATCGATATTTTCAATAATATGAAAGTAACTTCAAGGTCGTCACTAGTAGCGCAGCAGCTGTGATGACGTCATTGCGTGTCATCGTGTTATACCAGGGTTTACAAACATTTTGTTACTCTACATATAATAGTCATTTAATATTTAATTTTATTATTTTTATTGAAGAGTTTTTAAATGTAAGTTGTTTTATTGTGTTACATTATCGATACTGATAACGTAGTTAAGAGGGTTGACACAGTTTTTCATACACCCTGTATATAGAAGATTGGCTTCACATAAAAAAAAATATTCAATGTCGACAATCTTAAGCCTGAAAAGTGTGATGGAAAGAAGAATCATAAATCATAATGTAGTTATTTCGTGTACTTATTATTACCTACTTCTTGTTATTGTCGGACGGCACTCGGAGAGAGGGGCGCGGGCGCGGCGAGTACATTGCGTCTGTCTGTGTGTGCGTGGGCAGCGGAGTGTTGGTGAATAGCTAACCATATTATTTGCATGAAATTGGGATAACTAATTTCACAAATAAAAAATGCTAACGCACATATAAATACTATTTGGTGTATGCATTGCGTTTATATTATTATATTCTAATTGGGGTGTTTGAGGGTGTGCGTTAATTACGTTACACGTTGTATATATATGTACCTTCAGTACGAGCGGTAGTTCCTGTTTGTTCCACGGGGACGCCCCCTGCTCTATGCCCTCCCTCGAAAGCCTCGCTCGTATTTCCTTCACCATATCATCCAATTCTCTCAACGCTCTCACTTGTACGTAGAACCGACGCGCCCACTGTACTTCGTTGGTGCCTTGCTGTTTGAAATACTTCTGTTGCCGGAGATGATTCCATACCTGGTAAAAAATATGGTTTAGTATCATTATCATTATTTAAATGAAACGAATACTTTCGGAGTACTACGCCTTATTTTATTATTGTTATACTCATCTTGTCTAACCATGATCACGATTGTTGCAAAGTAAAAGAGACGTCGGGAGTATGAAGTTTATCATATTAAAAAAAAAGTTTAGTAATCCGAGAATATTAATATTATTTATATGAATACTCGCAAAAGTCCTAGATCTCAGTATTTTATTATGATCATATATTATCTATATACATAACAATGGCGCGTTGACGATACAAAAAAAGGGCTAACTGATAATAATAAATAAATGTATGACTCAATGTGTATTTGTCACAAATACCTGTAAAGTTTAAGCTTATTTATACTAGCAAATACCAATGACTACTGAAAATTTATATGACATGTGACAATGCTAGATATCCCTAGATGGCGCTTTTGTTAAAAAAACTGTTAAAAGAAAACTCATTAGAATAACTGTTAAATGTAAATAGTGATTAAATAATATGTAAATAGTTGATATAAATATATAATTATATATAATACAAATATGATTTTAATGTACATGAACCCGCGTACCTTGTAAACGTTTAGTAGAGCAATACAATCGCTCGTTGAACCATCGGCCCAAGTCAGTTTAGAGTTGTAGGCGTTGAGGCGTTCACGAAATGGACTGCTGAATACGTTCTTCACGGACAAACCGGCAGCTGTAATATATTAATAACACTATTACATTATTACATACATACATTGATTTCACATTAAATATATGTATAGACATTTATTTAATATAGAATAGAAAAGTATAGTGTTCTTTTTAAATTTATACTGGCAATTTTTACATATATATTCGAAAGTAACTTAAAATTACTACGGAAAGTATCTATATACGAAGTGGTGAACCGATTTTGATAAAATTGTGTATGAAGATAAAATCTCCAGCACTAATATATGTAAGTCACTTATATTTAAAACAATATTTGTTACGAAATAACTCAGAATAGCTTTTCGGACAAAAAAATCAGCATTTATGGTCTGTTTTCTATAATTCATCCATTGATAAATAAGACCTAAATTTCAAATATTTTTTTGTACGTCATCAGCCAATCAGAAGCCCACTGCTGAGCAAAGGCCTCTTTCTCACATAGAGAAGGTTTGAGCATTAATCACCACGCTTGATCAAGACGAGTTGGTGATTTCAAACTTATGATTATGAAACTATAAGTCCAGGTTTCCTTACGATGTTTTCCTTCACCGTATGTCAGTGGTGTCTAAATACTCTCAGAAAGTACATATGACTCGGAAAAATAACATTGGTACTTGCCAGGTTTGAACCCGCACCCTCGGTAACGAGAGACGGGCCCTTTAACCACTAGGCCACCACTGACTTCGTACTTTTTTTGTACATGTATGCAATATTTCATCTTTTGCCTATAATGAATCAAATTAACTGAATTAATACCCATAATAACAGCTTCTTCAAGACATCCGTATATATATCCCAGTAGGATCAGTTTAGACACTCTCACGTCCAGCGGTAACTTGGCCATGATTCTTCCTAAATATGTTATATCACCGTCTGATAAACACCACTCGCCGTCCATCGTCTTCTTTAAAGCACCGACCTGGTGATGAGAAATTCATCATAACTCATCATAACCCATCACCATTAGTGATACTGTCATAGCAACTACTACATTAAAACTTGATAAATTTAAATAGAAACGCGATCGGTATTATTTTGGTATGAGAAATGATGCTAGCGATAATTTTCAGCCTGCATACAAGTACATATTATTATCAAGATATACCTACCTATACCTATATGTTGCAAGAAATTTGAATTATATGTCCGTTTACAAACGGCTTCGGCATAAGCCTAATCTAAACTAACAAGAGAAAAAATCCGAAACAAAATTTACAATCTACCTTCGGGAATTTGTATACAAACATATTATACAAATTAACTATGACAAATATCTGGGCAGGAGTATGTTTGCTATAATAGTAGGAGTATGTTTGCTATAATAGTAGGTAGATGCTAACATTTTATCTATTATTACCAAAGTATTCCCTCACAATAAATATAAAACCTTTGTGGGGGGTTGTAATAACCATCATAAACTGACCTCCTTAAGCACCAAAATTGTCCGATGTATATTGGACATGTCCGGAGGGTCCATAGCTAGCGCGAGGATATTGCTCGGTGGACCCATGTCCAACATTTTGGACAAAAGGACCAAACGCTCTAGAGGACAACGGATTATCTCTGGCTTGCATTCTTGGGGGAGATTATCCTGTAACATATTACAATATTATTATATTTAAAGTTTAAACACCTTACAAAACTTGTATGAGAACTCTGGTATATGAATTCCTTTTAAAGACCTGACTTCACAGTCTTATAAATATATTAAAGTCATTATATAATATGTTAAATACCCTCACGGGTATTTAATATATTATATATTAACTTTAAGAATTAAGTCACATTAGCTGCTTCCAAAATCTCCTATTCCTATACACTTCAAATATATGTAGTTTGAAAATAAAAATAGTAAATGAGATTCAAATTAAACCTGATGAAATTGCATACGAAAAATATCTAATAAAACTATTGAATTTTAAACCATCGATAGTGGGAATAAGGTTGTAAATAGTGATCTATTAAATATAATATTTACATAAAACTTCTCATGAACTAGTCTGTAGACCCGGCCGTCCCTGACGCGGCCCGCTCGGCCTGCACGCTGCTCGCAGTTGGTCTTCGAGGCCCAGGATAGTTGTAGGGACGTGAAATTAGTGTTCTCATCAGCCACTAAGACTTTCATGAGACAGAAGTCGATAACTGAAATATAAGAATTATACTTATGAGTATGTACATCAATAGCAGAATCTCAGGCATCATAAGTGGTTTTAGAAATAATTATGTTTTAATCTAACATTGTTAAATATTGTTGAACATTTGTAAAGAAATTTTCTAGGTTAATTTTTTCTCTGAAATTCTCACATAGGAATATAAAATAAAAAATGTATAGGTACAGGTGTTTGGAACCAAATTTGGAATTTTAAAAAGTAATGTTATTTTCAAAAAATTACATGAATGACATGAGTATGTAAGGAAAACTTAAAAATATTCTATTTTTATATAGATTTAACATTATAATCATTTCTAATAAATTGTTTTTAAAAATCGTCATTTCATGGTTTTCTTATAATTATAACGTTAAATGAGTTAAATTCTCACCTCTCGTAAGTTAAATTTTTATTTTTGTATATATTCGATTGATACAAAGCAAAAAAAGGTTCCTTAAAACGTTACTAAATACTTTTAATATTTAAAGTAAGTACTTTCATTTGCTTTCAGTTAGACCTGTGTACCAATAATTAATAAGAATGACAAACATTCTTAAAAAACGAACATCAAAAATAAGATAAAAACCTATTGAGTAGTATTGATTATCTCTCTTACAATAAAACCGGTTAAGATAACATTGAAAATTATTTAAACTTATCAAGTGTAAAACAGCTTACAATTTCACACACAGTTTATAAGTCTTCGGTAGTATAGTGGTCAGTATCCCCGCCTGTCACGCGGGAGACCGGGGTTCGATTCCCCGCCGGAGAGAAGAACTTTTTGTTTGTTTTTTTTTTTCAAATTATTTTTTTTATCATATTTCCGAAAGTTACAATTTATATTATTATTAAAAAATTACATAACTTTTATCTTCCAGATTTTAAAATACATTATTTGCGGATGAAATTATTTAGAATCAATTTTTTTTTTAACTATACACACTTATAAAATGGGTTTTGAAATTAGTGAAACATTATAATTAATTATTCTACAAAGCAAAAAAAATTACTATTTAAAATGATATTGTATGCATGTGCAAAGAATACATATATGATATAAGCCAAATATTTATATATATAGATATATACTCACCATATTTAATATCTGGTACAGTGATGGAGCTCTCAGCTATGTTAGTAGCTAGTATGATCTTCCTGTGTCCCGGCGGAGCTCTTTGGAATACCCTCACCTGTTCATCAGCTGTGATAGTTGAATGCAGCGGTAAAACCCACCACTTGTATGAAGAACACTCTTCATCACCTAATTTCTTCCTGAAAAATATAAATTAAAATTTATTATTAAATAAATTTCTATTACAAACATATTTGGGACAACAAATTGTATTTACAAGTAGTTAAAGTTAGTCTGTGGAAAGGTGTCACTGGCTTAAATTAGATCTCTTCTATAAAGTTGTTTTTTTTATAGCAAATAGTTTAAAATAGATTTGATTATGATTAATTAGAGTATGAATTCAGAATTCATAAAAATCAATATTAGATTTCTCACCCTTTATTCATTTAGATAACTTACAACAATAGTTTTACTATTATATTGACTTACCTGAGTTCTTTGTCCATTAAAGAAGCATATAGCTCTTCAATTTCATGTATACCCGGTAGAAATATAAGAACTGATGGCAGATCTGCCTCCGACCTGTCACTATACTCCTCTTGTTTATCAATTTGTTCAAACGCATTCACCAGTTTGACGACTAGATGATACATTGGTGGTAAAATAACTGGCTCGTTAGATTTGGGTGTTGATTGTTGTAAGATCTGTAAAAATTTTCAATGAACCATGTTTTATTACATATACTGAAAATAATAATTGTTATAATAAAATATATTCTATAGATATTTGCTATCTTTTAATTTATAATTTAGAAGACATTTCTATAATGACCACTATCTCTGATTTTAGCTACAAGATTTAATCAATGAAAAATAAATAAAAATAATATATTTTTAATTACTCACTGCTCCAAACTTAGTCAATTGATTCAAATAAAATGTTTTCACAGTGAATGTAGGTTTATCGTTTGTCACTTTCAAACATGAAGACATTTGCAAACCGGCAGGTGTTGGTATCAAGAAATAATCGGCAAATGCTCTACAATTGAATGTAGCAGACATTAAGACGACTTTGACACTTGGTGAAACTGTGTAAAGTAGTTTTTTAACTACTAATAATAAGAAATCCATATCTTGCCCTCTCTCATGTACTTCGTCGAGCACTACATGTGTGTATTCATTCATGTTTTTAGCATTTACTGTAAGAAATAGTGAAAATTTATGTTGAAGTTGGCAGAAATACTTGATTAATAGTTCTGATGGTAGATTCTTAATAACATACCAAGTTTTTGTAGCAATACTCCCGTTGTAACATAATGTATTCTGGTATCATTAGATGTTCTATTTTCAAGGCCGACCTGGAATGATGAGTTAGAGATTTTGATCTTATACTATCAAATTTTTCTATTACAAAGGATGTACTGATTAAATAATTATCATATACTTGTCTTAATATATATAAGAGCTAAAACCTACCTGATATCCAACTAAGCCTCCCACATCCCAACCTCTTTCTTGGGCAACTCTTCTTGAAATAGATATAGCCGCTATCTTCCTCGGCTGAGTTACCACTATTTTACATGGCTTCCTATTATTATAAGCATCATCTAATATCCATTGTGGAACTTGAGTGGTCTTGCCACAGCCAGTGGGACCTTCAATTATTACTACTGGAAATGCTTTTATTCTATCTAAAATCTAGGATGATATATACAATTTATATTTTATGAAACTTTGAATGAATTCTATAATAGTTAATAATATTTATTTTTTTCTTACATCGTCATGATAGGCATTGATAGCTAAATTCTTAGTGTCCTCTTTCATCTGAAAGGAGTATTTACTGTAAACTTTTGTCATTGCCTCTTTGGTCAACGTCTCCAGGTTTTGAAATGACGAACCCCATGTTGATAATTGTACCATTGAGTCTAAACCACCCGATATACTTTGGAAATTTTCACGGTCTCGCTCATTCTAAATATTAAAATATATTAAACATTATAGAAAATCTTTAATCATGAATTTCATGTTTGAGAAGAATACGAATGCCCAATTAATAAAATTAAATAATCTTTATTAATATACCTTCAAATACATTTCAGTTTCTTTTAATTTTATTTCACGAGCATAATCAGTACCACTATCTACAACTGATTGACGATGTTCTTCTCGTCTATTTAAGTCATTTATAGGATCATCTTTTGTAATCCTTTGTCCACCGGTAAGGGGTCCACGCAACTTGATTACTTGAGCATTTGAAGGGCATGGATTGTTAAAGAACGCTTTAAGTTCTTCCATGCTTAAAACACAATAGCTTTTAAAGATGTTATGAAATTATCTTCAACAGGTCACAGGCTACCAATATAGCCCAATAAGCAATACCGGCAACGCGGGTATTTCAAAACTTAAAGTCTGACCGATTTGACAACATAAACAAAATGTAAATCTCAGGTCTTAATCACATCATTTGTGAATAACTTCAACTCGTAAGAGTTGTCAAATTAACTATAGATACAAAATTGTCTTATGGTTCACGTCGTAACTGTGTATCTTATAATATGATAATCATAATTATGTATGTAATGCAAATAATCAAAAAATAAACATAATGAATTAATTTTACATGATTATTGTATTAGAAAAAATTACCGATTAGAATAAAAATGGCTACACTTTGGCGCGACATGTACTCTTATAACTAGTTTTTGCCCGCGACTTCATGTATGTCAGAATTAGAAATAAGAATATGTAAATAAAAGAAATAAAAATATAAAAGTTAGAAATGTTTAATCTGACTCGATTAGATGAACTCTGTTTAATCTTAGAGGTAGTAAAGTTACAGATTTAGGATTTTATTCATTTTTTCTTTTTCGATCTGACAAGATGAAAAGTATTTTATGTCCGTCTTCTGGTTCAAATGTCCAAGCTACAACCTCAGAATTTTTTAGCGAAATTACTAGTACTTTTTGAGTTATAAATAGTGTAACTAAGAAGAATTTTTAAATAAAAGAAATACTTTTCTCGTCAGAAATGATGCCTTAAAATCGCTATGACACACTTTTAAAAACGGGTTTTAATAATACAGAATTAACCTTATCCGTATTTATTGTAATGTGCTCACACAGTAAATGCTTAAAATTTTTGTTGCCATTGAAATATAACACCAAAGATCTAAAAAACTTAGACATAAATTATTTTGAATGCAAGAATCACCAGTATTATGCACGTTTATATTTTCTAAAACTCAGAATGCCTTAAAAAACTTGATAGTTGATAAAGATGGTAAGTGAAGTCGAATATTCAAAGGTTTTATAGCACTCCGGGACAGCCAAAGAGGGACATCACACCTAATTCTGTAGATATAGTGCATAGGAAGAAAGCTTTTTTTACCTATACATTATTTACATACACAGTCTTAAACCAAAAAAGTCCTACTTTAGGGAGCGTTCAAGTATTACGTAACGCAATTTTCGAAGATTTTTGACTCCCCCTTCCCCCGTCGTAACGCACAGTAACGTTTTTCTGTAGCCCCCCCCCCCCCTTCTCAAAACGTTACGTAACACTCAAGTGATCAATTTCATCAAAAGACTTACAATGTAATCTATGTATTCCCCGTAAAATATCAATTAAAAGGTTTGCAAACTTGAAATAACAAATAAAAATATCGACCAGATTAATACAATCTAGTCAACAATGTAATATATATGAAAAGAGTTGCCAGTTTGGGGGTTTTTATTAATATATTTTTTTAGAAACAATGCTACGTAACGTTTTGTAAGAGACACCCCCTCCCGCCCCTGTAACGGATCGTAACGTTTTACGAGACCCCCCCTCCCCCAAAATTGCGTTACGTAATACTTGAACGCTCCCTTATGAGATAAGGCCGTTCTTCACCTTTTTTTCCATATGTCAGGCTTTAATGTCCAAATGCAACTTTTGAGGGAAAAGCCACGACTTTTGAGCTGTAAAAAATAGGATTCTTTGCCAGTATTTTTTTTTAATTTAACAAGTGGCAAGTGAGCAGACGGCCTACTTGATGACAGTAGTGACCGTCGCCCATGGACATACGTAACATAGATGTCGCGGACGCATTGGCAATCTTGATTGTTGAAAAACGGATGAGAAAAATGAGGAAAATGGCTCGAAAGGGTGTGAACAGGGAAGGGGCAACCAGCCCTCTCACTCATCAGATGAAACGTAGGCATTAAAGACTACTTCACACCCATATTCTGTGAGAGGATAGTACTTCCCCGGTTGATTTAACCCATATTCGAGTTCTAGTGACTTAACAAGCTAGGCACTACAATCTTAAAGTTAATTTTTTTTTATTAATAATGCTATTAATATAGAAACGTTAGGGATTTAAGCAGCGGGAAATTAAATGAAATTTAATTAATAAACCAAATATATTTATAGAGCTTTGTAAATAATATAACCAATGTTAATATTAATCAATATATTTCATACCATACATGGCATAACAAAATACGCAGATCATTTAAAGAACTGGATATTTCAACTACATTACCTTAAGCTAAACACATTCACATATTATGCATTTTTATAGATTGCCATCATTGATATTTTTATCGTCATGTTGGCAACACAATACCAAAATCTTCAAACACGGATATGATTAAATACTTTTTTCAACATTTAGATAGTATATTTTGACATCTACACAAGTTCAGGGGTAAATTGATCTAAAACTAGAGTGGAATCTTTTATCATTCTATTTTAATGTATAGATTAAAATGTTTTAAGTACAAAAGAAAAATATACAATGTTAGAAAAAAAAAATATAATTTAAAGCTAATTTTATAATTAAATACATACAACTTTTAAAATTAAAAAAGTAAAAAAAAATTATAAATCATTTTATTTGAAAATAATCTAAGGACGAATTTAGTTCGATCTTTGGTTACTAGTGGAGGTTGGTATCATAATACAGTTTTTTATGTTGGTATTACAGTTCAGTAATTTTGTATTTAATGGATCTGATTGAATGATTAAGAAAATCTCAATATCTTTAACACCTCCATTTTCTCTGACTAGGAATATTGCTATTATAATGTGTCACTGGTAAATCTAAAGATATGTAATTATATGATTTATTACAGTTCTTAACTCATACATATGTAGTATTCATATCATTTGAAGTTGAACACATGAGAAAATGCAGATAGATATTATTTTGAATCATAGTAAGAAATTTTCTATAACATAATCAACAAACAAAGCTTTTGTTTAGTTTTTAACATAAGTACCTTATAATAATACTAAGCGACATTAAACTACCCAATAGTCACACCTTATATGCTAATTACTATATAAAACCAAACACCAAACCGGTAAGAGATTACAAGGGAACATACCTTAAATACAAATAAACATTTAAAAGCCAACAACATTATACTTAATTCGTAATCAACATTCTTATTTAAAATAATTTAAGTTAAGATTTTGAGAGCCAGTGCCTCAGTTGTGACACTTTGTTTATTTTTTATTTAAGATATATTTTTATATAAAATGTGTGTCCGATAAGCAATAAAGTTGTTCTTATGAACAGCTGTAAAAAATACTTAAGTGTGATTATTCACACTTAAGTATTTTTCGTGATAATTCTTATTAATTTACTATTTGTAATGTTTAGGGTTATAAAAAATTGGTAGCCTTAAATGAATTTTGTAGTCAGAGAAGCAATAAATATGAAAATATTATTTTTTTACATTTAACAAATATGAAAAATAGTCCACTTTTAGTAGCAAAACGGTTGCAAGAATTTATTGGCTTTAAAAGAATTTTTTTTTCAAGAGGGCACTGGCTTTCTTTGATCCAACCGTCAAGTTCACACAATATCAAACAAGAAAATACTTTATAATTTTATCACATAAGTAACAACATATTTCTCACTTCATCTATAACATAAATGTAATTAAAAATAAAAGTAAAAGGACAATGCAAACTAAGCTTTATAATATTATAATTAAAATTTTCTTAATACCTGGTCATTAAAATTAATATCTCCTATAAGATTTAAATTTATTCAGCAAAAAATTCAGACATAAGCAGTATTAGACACATAAACATTGATTCATTATAGAGGCACATATTGAAAATTTTATAATATAAGTTTAATTAAAGCAAAATATTTGAAAACTAATAATTTTAGAATTTGAATCTTTTAATACAAAAAAATGACAATTCCAGCAATCAGCAATTATAATAGAATAATCACCTTAAAAAATTATAGAAGAGACGTCATAATGCAATCAATGTGTTGTAGATTCAGTTGTCCTTAGATGGTTGTATGGACCAGCCGAGTATGCGACGATCAAAGCCACAGCTGAAGAAATTCATATTGGAAGCAACGTCCTCAACCCATGACACTGAGGTAACCATGCGACGATGACCCTGGAATATATGATTAAACACAATAAGATATATAAGTCAGTGGTGGCCTAGTGGTTAAAAGGCCCGCCTCTCATGCATGAGCGCGGGTTCGATCCAAGCAAGTACTAATGTGATTTTTCCCAGTCATATGTACTTTCTAAGAGTATTTAGATATCACTGATTAATGCATTCCCAAAGAGGGTTGATGTCAGGCAGACGGCCGGTCGTAAAAACAAATAGCCAAAACTATTCACAACATGTAAGGCATACCCTGGCTGTAGCTGGGACATTGCCAGGTAGAAGAAGAAGATAAAGAATCCTTAGCAGTCAAGAGATTTATATCTAGTTTGGAGTTGTCAAAATTAATTATCAAATTTATATTGATTGGATGTAACTTATTGGTATATCGTCGGGGATAGTGCAAATCCGCATAACTACGATTGAATTTTTTCACAATTAGTAATAAATTAAACACTAATTTTGAAGAAATTCAAATTACCTTAAAAGTCGTTAATATAGCAAATTTTTCAGCTTGAACATTCTTCTGATAATCTGCTTTCGATGTAGATACGCGGAATTATCCTATAGTTGCTACGCGGATTTCTATATCCCCGACGATGATCCCCATAGACTACATCGTCGGGGATATAGAAATGTCTATGGGGTAGATTGCACTATCTATCTGTAGTCCATGGTAGATTTGTATTGATGGTACATTAATTACCTGTCTGCTCGACCTCGGCAGCCTAGCCAGTCTTTGACCCTGGAGGTCAAACAGTCGCACCTGTCGGTTGTCGTGAGGTATAGCTATCAATCCACCAGAGCTTACAGCAACGCGGTTCACTGATGAATCTGAACGTATGGTTGCAAGAGCTGAACGCATGTTGCGAACATCCCACACCTTGAAACATACAGAAAATTAATTATTGCTCAGTCAAATATTAAAATAGATTTATTTGGTTTTAGTAAACGGCATTAAAGAATACTAGTTGGCTTGATTTTGCTCACCAAAGCTTTACATTATTTCGGTATAGATAAAGAAGTTTGAAACTTTATTATTTCTTCACCCTGATAACGAATAAAATGACGTTTTATTGAAATTTAATTTAACTAGATTGGTTAAACCTACGGCAAAGTTTTGGGGCATATGTTACAACTAAAGAGTTATTTTAAAGGTAATTAATTGATTGATTTTAATAAGCTAATTTTATTAATGTATAATAAAATTTAATATCAACAGATGGCTCTTCCGATTGAGATTTTTTTAATGTTAATTACATGGAATAATACAAAAATAAACCTAGTGTTGATACAGCACAAATATAAACATCATAACAAACCTTGACAGATCTATCGTCGGAACCGGAAACAACTTTATCCTCCCTTGTAAAAACCGCTGAAGTGACGCTCCTATGAAAATAACTCTAATTAAGTCACAGTAAATATAAACCAGTACAACTTCATTATTTATGCACACACAAACATCAATCAGTTCTTATCCTTGACATTGAAGCAGTAGAAACAATTCATAGACGATTTTATTAGTCATTAAATATTCAATATGAAAACAATAACGCAACTTTAACGACTTTACTTTAAAAACGCTCAATAGATGGCGTTTATGGCAACTAAAAAATACATTATATATGTAGCAAGTTTGAACAAAGCTTAACTTTCCCAACACTACTTACAGCTTACCTTACACGCTATTTAAATAACAACGAATAAAACACTCAAGCTAATTAATTCTTTACGTATCATGCATTGTATATTAAACCAATGTCACGTTTTATGGAGCAGTATAACGTGATTAATATTACGTACTCAGTATGCCCTTGGAAAACGGACACCGAGTGTATTGGTTCGCGGAAATCCCATAGTCTGAAGGTGGTGTCACGGGAAGCGGTCACCACGAGGCGGGAGCTATGGTGAGATGACGCATGGGTCAGTTCATGGTCGTGACCTAGAACAGAACAAAATATACTAATTTCACCAATTTTAAAGAGCACACATAGATAAAAACTATAATAATAATAGTTATTAATTATTCATAGCTTTCCGCCCGCAGCTTCGCCCGTGTCGAGTTCGGTTATATCGCGTTTCCAAGAGAACTTTTCAAAAGTCTGGGATAAAAACTATCCTATGTTCTTTCTCAAGATCAACTCTATCTATGTACCAAATTTCATCAAAATCAGTTCAGTGGTTTAGGCGTGAAAGCGTAACAGACAGACAGAGTTACTTTCGCATTTATAATATCAGTAGAGATATTTATGTTATCTGTATCCTTAATTTGAGTTTCGTCAAAGTTAATATCGAGCGTTTAAAGTTTTTCATTCATTCATTCATTAACGTTGATACTATCAAAATTAATTTTAATTGAAGATTTATGTATGGAAAACTGGAAATTTTCCGTATATAGTTAGGGAATTTAAACTTGTGGTAAGGTTATAGAGTTTATCCAAGTATAGTACATTAAGTTTGTAGTATAAATACTGTTTCTTAAACTAGGATGATTTTCAGTCTTAAAAAGTAAAACTGTTTTTAGGATACGTGATTCTTTAATTTTAGTTTCTATATAAAATCGCCCATTTGATTACGTTTCAGCAACGGGTAAACGGAATAATAAAATGTAGAACTAAAAATACCAGATCCTTATCCGAAAAAATATTTTTACTTAAAAAAATACATTAGATTTAAGTTTTACTTCAAGTATGACGTCAAAAAATTCGTATCATATGCGGATATTCTTAACTCTTAAGGAACCGTATTATATAGAAAAAGTTCGAGATACAGATCAAAAAAAAATTTTCGAGTTATGCATGTAACAAAATGGATTAGCGGGACTCAATCATTTCGCTTTTAGGTTTTAAGGATAGAAACTCAAAAAAAAACATATTTCGAGATTGGAGTGTTTTAAATCATGATCTTCGACTCACCGCGGTTCTATGAACTTCAGTGTAACTTAAATCGAATATTTAATTGTGTACCGAGTCGCAAGAGTAAAAATGTTGTCATTTTTACTACTTATATAAAGATATGTAATAAATAACTCATTTATATACTTAAGTTTCACTTTCGTGTTCCTTAGCAATAACTTTATAATTAATATAATGAAACATAAGTTACAATTGTATTTATCGTCTATTTTATTACCTGTCAATATTTGCAAGCAGTCGCCGGTTTCTACGTCATACAGATTGGCCGTCCTATCCCAGGACGCGGTGATGACGTGATCGCCTCCTGTCAGCCAATCAGCTGCGACCACCACTCCCATATGACCACTGAGCTCTGTCAGCGGAGTTCTTAATACTTCTGGTCTATCGCTTTCTCCTAAGCTTTCCTCGCCACCTCCGTCCAATTCTTCTTCGGAGGACTGACCACGCTATATAAAGAATATAATTCCTCAAATTATACTACTATAGTAAAAAATATTTAATTTATAGAATTTTCAAGGTCAAACAAAGATTTGAGTTCATATAAATAGGTTGTTTTTGAACCATTTCGTTATAAATACATCGAGGACATAGGTATATGAAATGCTATCAAATATTTACGTTACTACTACATCAACAAACGACAGAAGTAGTACAAATCTACAAACTGTCAGAATAAATATTATATTAACACAAATACAGTGTGTTTAAAAAAATTCCTTGTAAATTATCTATACTAATATTATAAAGCTGAAGAGTTTGTTTGTTTGTTTCTTTGAAAGCGCTAATCTCCAAAACTACTGGTTCGAATTGAATAATTCTTTTTGTGTTGCATAGTCCAGTTATCGAGGAAGGCTTTAGGCTATATAACATCACGCTACGACCAAAAGGAGCAAAGATATAGTGGTAAATGTGTAAAAAACGGGAGAAATTATTTCATCTTTGAAGCCTTCCGTTGCGTGCGCCGAAACGGTTCAAGATACAGAAAAAATATGTATTAAAGAATAATAGCTCTTTTAATGATCTAAAAAACACTCCGCGACAGTATATGTCTATCTGTTAAGATTAACTCACAAAAACCGTTTTTATGGTAACTAATTTGGTCGAAATAATTTGTTTAAGTTGGATCAACATAATAATATTAATATTTATTCAAATAAACAAATAAATATGTTGTTGGTTAAGAGTACTTCATTGTGAATTAAAAAAAAGACATAGGTTTTATCCTGAAAATTCTACGGGATTTCGACCATTCCGAAAACCCCACAAGAACGGGAACTATGTGGGAAGAACCAAAAATCTGCCTTAAGTCACTATTCCACGCGGACGGTGTCGCGGCAAAAGCTAGTCACTTATAAAATTCACAAGTATTATTTTAAATTTTTAAAGTATAATTATATAATTAATATTATTTGCTAGTAATAAATTCTTAATGAACTAAAATAATAATGGTTAACATATGATTTCAAAAATACTTTCAACTAAACAGAACCCCTGTATAAATAAATGATCAATACTAGTTAAAAATATCAAACATTAATAACCATAAATTCAAATTCTATAGTGCAATCAATGCATTCAAACTGACAAATGATTACAGGAAACACATAATACTTTAAAAAACAATACAAATATATTATTTACATACAAAAGATTGTATTGTTAATAAGAATGAGAAAATATTCCTTAATATAAATATACTTGCCGGCAGATCCCAATTCACAGCTGCCTGCCAAACATGTGCGGTGTTATCACCACTGCTTGTGAGGGCTATGTCTCTTGTAGGATGAAACCTTATGGAGTTCACGGACCCAGCATGGCCGGTGTATTGAAGTAGACACTTACCCCATTCGACACTCCAAACACATGCTGTGTGATCTGAAATTATATATAATATATGACATATATAATTATTATTAAAATAATAAAAGCTTCTATTAAGAATATACTGAATTTTGTCTAGATAACAGAAAAAAAAATTAATTGATGAATTAAACGAATTTGTTATTTTCGGACTACTATACAATTTTCTTTTTAAACTACCGATATGTCGACATCTCGACCGCACGTGATCACGGTTGGCCTCAAGTAACCGAAATGTCGTATATAGTTTTTAAAATAATAAAATACACGAAAATATTAATTTAAATGAAAACTAGCGAAAGTCTTTGATCTCATTAATTGAACAATTTATTAAAAGCGACAACAATAAGTAAAGTAACAAATGTAGTATGTATTAATTAAATCAAATTGAGTGCCTCCTGATATTTAGGAAACCATTTCATTATAATATATAATATATTTACAATAGTAGTAATACTATGTATATATATATATATATATATATATATATATATATATATATATATGTAAAGCGTATATATTGTCCTCTTTATAAACACAAAAGACAACTAACACATTTTTTTGCATAATTTAGTCAATGCCATTCACAAGGTAAGGTCACACGCATTCTATATTACAATATGTGCTTGAACTTGTCCCATAAATTCTATTATTATCATTTTTTTCAATTATTTAAATTGCAGCAGTTTAAAATTTTCTCACCTTAAGTTTAAATGACTTTTTTTATACATAACATTTTTATTATACCGGTTTTGTGTGATTGCATTTAACTGAATCTGAACTCATGCAAAGTAGAAATAGTGTAGGTTATTAGTTCAGACTACATCCTGGTAGAAATTATTTAAAAAAGGAATAGTAAAAAAAAATATATGTTTAATAATAATTATCTGTTATTTTTTGATACAGTTTTTGCTCTTCCAGACAGGTAAAATAGTAGTGGGAAGTCACTCAGTAATTTTTTACAGGACCATATAACTTTCAAGTCCCGATTGAGGTAAATGAAACATAGTTTAATATTTTAATTAATCATTAGGTCATATAAACAATAAACAGAATAAATTTTAATATGTATTGCACATATAAAATTACGGCTCCATTCACACTGAATTTATTAAATATTTAACCAATGTCATGGTTTTATTTATTGTAATATATCAAAATGTAATTTTAAATACTGCAAGGAGGAAAACATGATAGAGTTTCTAATGTTAAAATGGTGTTTAGTTTTAAAGACTCAAGTTATATTTAGTAGCACTTTATATTCATCCTGTTACATAAAACACCATAATGATAATTTTTATGAAAGGTAACATTTCCTGATTATGTCCTGTTAAAACCGAGCTTCTAAATTGCACTAAAGTGTTATGATACTATATTATTATTGTCAAAATATAAAATAATAGAAGAATGATTGAATGTAATCAAATACCTGCTGAAGCAGTTCCAATCAATGCCTGTCCTGGACGAGCTGTTGTTACATCCCAAATACCGTCTTTATGCCCAGTGAATTCTCTGATAAGCTGGCAGCTATATGTAGGAGCTTTGAAACTAGACACAATCTTGCTAGTCTGTACTTTTAGTTTGTGACTGGTTTTCACTTTTTGAGAGTTACTCTGAGATACTAAACAAGAATATTAGTATGTAAATTTATCAAAAAATTTAGAAATTATTTGGGTATAACTTACATTTAACTTTAGAGTTTTTTCCTGATGTTTCGAAATCAACATAGTCCACAATCTGTCTATCACCAACATAGCTTTCTCTTTCTAATTTTTCACTAAGAATGTCTATTTTTTCTTGTACTGTAAATTAAGATATATTTTTTCAAAAAATCTGAATAGTATTTGAATTGTTAGGATTCAAATTTTATATTTTTTACTTACGGTTTAAGTTTTCAGTGTACAAAACATCAAATTCTTTTTCTATTTGTGAAAACAATTCATGGAGGCGACATCTAAAAACTGGTGGAATTGATGATTCTGAATCTTCCATTTTTAAATAGTTTGGTAGTCCATCTGAGCTCTCGGTTAAAGCTTGAAGTCGTCTTTTACTAGATTTCATGATTGGTTGCGGATATTACTACATAAAACAGGATTATATTTACAGTCTAATTAACTGTCATATTATTAAGAGTACAATCGAAAGTATAAAATTTCATTAAAACCGCGAATGGCACAACAGTGAAAATAAGGTGTGTGGAATATTACACAGGATTCAAGAACAATCTTTTAATTACTCTGCACCCAGAAAAATCACGACAAAAATATTTAGATGACATATGACATTAATACCTGACATTACGAAAGTTTTGAGTTGCCACTCTCCTCCAAGCATATTTAACGAAAAAACGAGTTTCATTCGTAATTCTAATAGCCGGCTATATTTATGTAAAAGCGTGTTCGTATTTTTAGTACCTTTGTAGCATTTTTTATTTTTTATGTTAGAAGCTATCCAATGATTGTTGTATATTTTAGAATTTACTAATAAATATTTATTTTTGTGATTATATTGTATATATCTGTAACATACTCTACATATATCTTTTGAGTATAATATAATTTTAACGCTATTAATTTATTACTTATTTTTTATAAAAAAAAATATTCTCTCTATTATTAAGAAATTCTGTTAAGTATCGTTAAGCCTTTTTTCTTTTAAATTATAAATCAATTTCTCATTTGTTTTGTTTTTTTGTTTGTTTGTCTCGTTTCGTTTCTCGTTTTGGTTTATTTTAGGTATATTTTACTTTATATTTTATTTTAGGTATATTTTCACAGATTCTCAGCAAAGCTAGCACATTAGATATTGTCTATGGTTGAATTTCAACAATAGTTGTAAATGTCACAAATTAAAACACCATGCATTTCGATTAAGTTAGTAAATAACAGTTTTACATATAGTTTATCAATTAATTATAACAAACGATAGAAAAAATAATTTAAAGTGCTTATTAACAGTGGTGGTAGAGAAATCGAAATTTTAATCTGTTTCTTAATTTATTCTCTGTTTAAAAGATGGCCGGTATATAGTTTCTGGAAAACTGCCAAGTTTGCCAACGCATAATTGTTCTATGTTGGAAAACGAAAATGTCGTTTTCAGATCTATATGCTAAATATAATTGTACTTATTGTCAAGAAGAAATCAATGGAGTGCGTGTAAGATGTGCAGAATGTAAAGATTTTGATATTTGTTTGCAGGTAAAGTAGCATCGTTGCCATTTTTGTTTATAGTTTTGGCGCAATTTTTGAATTTTCAGCCTAACTTTATAATTTTTTTCTAGTGTTTTTCTCTTGGAGCTGAAATCGGACCACACAAAAATGACCATTCCTATCAATTTATGGTACGGTCTCCGCATTAATAACAACTTTATAAAATATATAAAACAGGACTGATTTGGTAGTTTATTTATTTTTTAGGACTCTGGAGCATTTGGAATATTTTTAGGTAGAACTAGTTGGTCTGCTAATGAAGAAGTAAGATTGCTAGATGCTATAGAACAGTTTGGATTTGGAAATTGGGAAGATATTGCTAAACATATAGAAACAAAAACACCAGAAGGTAAATATAAAATATTATCAAAATTTTATTATTAATGTATAATCAGACTAGTTTTTATATTGCAATAATTTTAGGAATTAATGTCTTTCACATAGGTAATAGTCCTAAATAGCTAGTTGTTCTTTGAATGTCAGTTAATAAAATATTTAATATATTTATTACAGAAGCCAAAGATGAATATATAACTAGGTATTTGGAGGGTAGTATAGGTCGGGCTACATGGGGTAATGTGGAGAGCACGAGTCGGCCGTCACTACACTGCGCTGATAGAGACGAAGGTCCGCTGAGTCCTAGCGCAGTATCAAGACTGCCACCGTTAGCAATAACTTCTGATGAAGCCGCCCAGCTCGGTTATATGTCAAACAGAGATGATTTTGAAAGGGTATACAATAATTCAGTCACTTTTTCATATATTTATAAAATAGTCAAAAACATGATATTATTAGATAATATGTATGTATTGAATTTCATAAATTTAAAGGTTGACTTAGCTGAGTAAAGGCAAATGTTACAATAAATATAAAATTAATAGTCAATGATATGTAATCGGATCCATAGAATGTAATATTTACATAATAAACACATTTAATATGTAACACCAACTAACGTTTGAGAAGATTGGTGGGCTACTCTCCAATCTTTTTATAATATTTACAATCTTAAGTGTATACAGTCTACACTTTTACCCATAGTAGTCATAAAATCCAAGGTCACTATGCAATATTTATCATTTAAATGACTTAATTTCAGACTAAAATTGCATCATCTTCGTTGGTTAACTAATTACTTTTTATTAACGAATTTAAATTTATCTATTTAAGGAACATGATCATGAAGCGGAGCAATTAATATCAACATTATCTTTGAACCCAGAGGATGACAATTTGGATGTTGGTAAGTCAATATGTTATTGGTATGTGGTAAGTGTAAAGACATTGAGGACAAAAAAAAACCTAATAAATTCTCTTTAACAGATTGCAATATAATATAAATATTATGTTATAGTTTAGTTCATTGTTTTAGCATTGAAGTTGTCGCAAGTAGATATTTACACTCGAAGGTTGAGAGAAAGGACAAGACGAAAAAGGCTAGTACGGGATTATCAACTGGTGTCAGTATTCTTCAATAATCAGAGAAACAAACAGAAAACACTTGGAAAACTTGCCAAAGAAAAAAAGTAAGTATTAAACCATCCAAATTGAATCTATATATATTATATAGAAAAAAAGGTTTGTTTTAATCATTCAAATAGAAATAGTATCTGCCAGTAGCTATAGAGTTTAGGGAAATAAAAAATATAAGGAGGTTTTTATAGTTTAATGTAGGGGCGAACAAAGTTGATGAGACACAGGGCCAATAAAAATAACTAAATACTTTGTTGGGCCGCAAAGTATAAAAATCCTAGTAATAATAGAATTGTTATTATTACTAGTACTTGCTCATTGATGTATTCAAACAAAGATGATAAAAAAGATTCTATAGTCCTCAATAATCCAAACATGGTTTATTCAGCCATGGATTAAAGGTTTTATATTAACTTCTGAATTTATGAATTTCCAGGGAGTTTACTGATCGTCTTAGATGGACGGCCCAGTTCTACGGTCGATCAGAACAGGCTGCTGTGGTAGCGGGTTTGTGGAGGGAACGGGAATTAAAAGTTCGTCTGGCTGAGCTTCATAGATACAGACTGGCTGGCGTTACTCGCCTCGAGGAATGCGCCCACTACGAACAACACGCGGCGCATAGAAAACATCCACACCACATCGACGTGAGACGCGTCATGGTACTCCGCTTCGCACTGCCCGACATACAATATAAACATAGAATATATCCATTCATATATATATTTATGACCCAATAATGTTATGAGTTTTAACTTTCGAGAGTATTCACTCAAATAGAACTAATATTTTCCATATAGGTACTAAGCGAAAAAAATTACGCGTAATATTGCAAAAACATTAATTTTACCTAATAAATCTATAATATATAAAAAAGGAAACAGAATACAGATAATTTCAATATTATCAAACAGAATAGATTTTACATTAATAGGGGAAAAAAATATACAATAAGTAATGATCAACCACTTCATTCTTAATCCAAGAATCTTAAATAGCGTCCGTGATATACATAATATTAAATTTAACTAATATATCATGTCGTTATATGATTACATATATTGTTTCATGTTATTTGTAAACATACAACTCATTTTTAATAGTTTTGTTTGTCATCATGATTTTGCATGCTGTTTTAAATTCGTCTCATATCTTCCATTCGCTTACGCTTTCGCGAATATTGTTGTTTGCATGGAAATAAATAGATTTTTAGTGAGTAGTGTTTGTATTTGGTTTTATAGTGGAATTATCACCTCCAAGTATATTTTTTCTTAAGAAGTGTATGGTCTATCAGTGTTAGTAGTCACTTGGTATGGGTTTGATTCCGAATAACGATTATATTCGCCAGGGCAGCAGTGGGTGCCTGGACGCGCAACAGACAAAAGAATCAACACAGACCAACACTCAGCAGCAGCTAAGAAAAAGGTGACAACTTAAAATTATTTACAATTATATGGATTAGAACATATATATCTAATTTGCCTTTCGTGAACTGTTTCACTAATATTGTTGAGAAATAAAAATAAGTTACAATATGTTATGAAATATTTTTCATAACATAACAATGTAAGTTTAATAATTCTGTGGAATACAAACACCAAAGAAATATAAAAGATACACTAAGTTTATTCTTAAATTATAAAAAAAATAACAGCAAATTTAAGAAACTATTTATTAAATAAAGATGTTTATTCACTATTGCAGTTAAAAAATAAAATTAAATGCTAATAAAGACATTATATATTTATCAACAGAGACGTAGAAAGCGGCTCAAGTTCCACCAGCCCAAAGTGCACACGGGAAGGAAGTACCGCATGTGGATGTTGCAGAAAGAGCTCATGCAGCGCAGGATGCTCGACGCATCTGCTGACCACTAACGAGATACAGGTACTATTAACACACACCATTATATACTTCTTCTTCTACCTGGCAATTTCCCAGCTTTAGCCAGGGTCTGCCTTACATGTTGTGAATAGTTTTGGCTAATTGTTTTTACGACCGGCCGTCTACCGTACATCAACCCTCTTTGGGAATGCATTAATCAGTGATGTTTAAATACTCTTAGAAAGTACATATGACTCGGAGAAATCACATTGGTACTTGCCAGGGCCAGGATCGAACCCGCGCCCTTGAGCAGCATGAGAAGTAGCCCCTTTAACCACTAGGCTACCACTGACTTCACCATTATATACTATATGTTAATATTATAAACAACAAAGTTTATAAGGGTGTATAGATGTTCACAGAAAACGGCTTACAGGATTTTGATAAAACTTTACAGTGAATAACTTAAACAACACTATAAAATATTGGCTATAATTTATCAATTATTACCTTGTTCATGAGAGATCGCGGTGTAAGAGTTGTATATTGTGTGAAGTCTTTGCACACAAATCCAACACATGTGATTGAGGTCGCGGTAAAAAATAAGAATTTAAATTTAACATATTGTTTCTTTTGCAATAGCTCTGATCATGGAGAGACGGGTCAAAAGTGTTATATATTTTTACCAAATGTATATTTGTTTAGTTGCTCAATAAAGCTATTAGTAAACGAAATATTTGTGTTACATATATCTATTTACGATAGTAGTATTTCAAATTTCTCGTTATTCTTTTAATATTTGTGTCGCGATCAATTTGTAGAGATTTACTCATATACCTGGTAATTAAAGAATCAAACTAATATTTCATGTTTTAGACATCATTATTATATGTATAATCACATTAATTTCTTTTTTAATTGTAGTTGTAGTAAAATAAAAAAGTTTGTGTTAAGATTAATGCCTTCTGATGAATAATTTAATAGTTTACAAGTCAAAAAGTTTTACAGTAATAAATAAATATATAAGTTAACAATAAATTCAATTATCTTTACAGTTATGTACAGCCCTCAATCTGCTGGCCACTCAGTATGTAACACTAAAGGGAGTGTTACTTCGTAAGCCAGCTCAATCCCCTGACGCTGATGTTGATCGAGCAGTAAGGAAATATTTGTCAAGTGCTGGGTGGCTTCATCATTAAGGGCACCGATACACTGCTTCTTGTATAGCACTATAATATTAGCAATATTGATGTACATATTACTGATAGTGTGAAGCGAACCTTAACTGTGAACTGTATGTAAAGTGACATCTAGACCTTATTTCAAGTTGCAAGTGCAGTGTATTTTGTGTAAAACACTTATAATTAGTGAATAGTGATTGGGTGGACTTATTCAACAAGTTTAGTGTTTATCGGACCATATTGTGATTTAAGTTATAGAAAAAATTAATATTGTATAAACTTTGATGATTTTGTGCAAAGGAAGTTAGAAGACTTTGTGTATTTCAATATTATTATAGTATTTTGTATCTCTCATATTGATTTACCAGTTGATTTCTAAATACATAGGTTAAATGTTGCCTATGTCACAAGATGTTAACATAATTTATAGTAAAGCTCATCCAAAAAAAAGTTTAAATATTCTTTGATATTATTTTTAGTTCATAATATATTATTTTTCTTTAATTGTACACCTGCAAATTATTGCAAGTGTAGTGCTATCATTAATGGTAGCATAGGTTTGATTACATTGTAGTAATAACATTTAAAAAAACCTTATTTTGAGAACGGCTTAGTAAATATTGCTACCGAATTTTTAATATAAATTTAAAGGTAAGCTCTCATAGAGTAATATATATAAAATGTGTAAATAAAAGTATTAGCAATTTTGTTAATATAAATGTGGATTTATTAACAAATAAGGTTTTAGAAATTGTATATTTGTCTGCTTCATCCATAATAAGTTACAGTAAGAAATCCAATATATCGTAAAACTGTATACTATAGTTAAGAAAACACAAAAAAAATATCCTACTGTTAATGTTAGTAGGCACATATAAAATTTGTTGAAGATTGATTGAAAGTAATTAGAACCTAAATTTTATATTTATTAGACTGAAATCAATACTTTATGGAGTTTGCATCATCAACATAATGGAAAATACTACAATACTTTTTTTATTATGATTCTGCAAACTGAAAGGTATACAAATTAAATAACTACATTGTAGTTTAATATAGACATACTTGGGTCAATTTTTATTCTATATAGATTTTATCAATGTGTTTTGTATAGGTGAGGTTGTTAGTTAATTTTACAGTTCCATTATAACAATAAGGGATATATGTGTATTAAAAAATCCAAAAAAAATAAACATCAGTCCATAGAAGATAGTTCCGCCAAAGTTAGATCATAATAGGAAATTATTTTCTTCTTATTTGGCTTTCATTTGTGTCATCTGTGCAGTATTCCTTTAACATATTGGGAAGACACAATATTTGGTGCTTGAATAATATTAAGCACATTTATTTGATTCTATGGCTTTATTTCCACTGGAATTGTGGAATATTTTGCCAATGTCTTAGCACATTTTACTATGGTAGTAATATCTAAAGCGACAAGCATTTCAAATTATCGCCATATATGTAATAGAAATTTGAAGGAGTCTGTTTGTATTATATCTTTTAATTTGAAATAATTATCTAATTCATAAACTTTAAGTGTCAATCATGTTTAGTAAGATATTTTTTATCATCTTCTGTTAGATTTTGTTTGAAAATTTTTGTATGTGATGATCTCTTAATATTCTTTGCATTTTAATTTATATGGTGTCTTATTTATTTTAATGATATAACCATATATAGTTTTTAATGTTTCCTTATTATTAAATAATCTAAGTTTCTTTGTCATCATATGGAAAAATGTTCAAAATTCTTTTGTTAAAAGGCTTGTAAATGAATAATAATAAGTATTTTATTATGTTTATAGTAAAAATTTGGCTCAAAAATGTACATATATGTTAAAGTACAACCATTATATAGTTTATAAAGTATGTCTTATTCATAAGTCATGGGTATAAAATTGAACTTACACAAATTTGTTTTATTTGTCATCATTTTGTTTTGCTCGTGTTGGGTTTGGGCATGTCCTCTAGAGCGGCTGGCAGTGGTTTTGTGTGGAACCAAGGGTGATTTAAAGCCTGAAACGAAATTCCTATTAGTTTTAATATTTTGATTATGTCAACATTTCACAAAAAAAAGCAATTCCTTCTTTTCCGAGGATAGTCTGTACTAAGTATTAACCCTTATGTCAAGATATTATGTGAAGTACAAACCTCTTTAGCTGATATTCTCTTTTGGGCGTCGTATAGTATGAAAGATTTGATGAGATGAATAGCGTCAGGTTCTACTCCCGGTAATAGTTCCGTCCAAGGCATAGGCGATGATTCGGGAAATGTTATTTTGTGGTAATCCGGTAGTTCAGAGTGTTTGGGCCACGTCTCCTCAGTGGGCGTGCCAAGACGCTGTAACACTATTGCCAATTGTTCAATATCAGACTCTCCCTGAAAGTTTATATGAGATTTGAATCGAAAATCTTAGAGAAAATACAGCAATTTAAATAATTTCCCAAACTACCCAGTACTCACTGCAAAAAGCGGTTGTTTTGTGATCATTTCAGCTATAATACATCCGACAGCCCAGATGTCTACGTTTTCATTATAATATCTAGCGCCATATAAAAGTTCTGGTGCTCTGTACCATCTTAAATAAGAAAAATAAAATAAACCTTTAGATGAGATAAAATATATGAAAACTCTTTAGATTAATTGTTAAGAAAAGTATTTTGATATGATATTTACCTCGTTGCTACTTGATGTGAATAAGGTCTTCCACCATCAGGCCAATACAAACGGGCAAGTCCCAAGTCCGCTATTTTAAGTATACCCTCATGATTGATTAGCAAATTTGCAGGTTTAAGGTCCTTAAAAAGATATTGCATGTCAGAAAGGGCATTGAATAGTAAACAATTAATCATGTTCTCTTAAATTACCCTATGCATAACATAGTGTGCGTGCATATAACGCGTCCCTTTCAGTAACATTTGGGCGTAAGTTTTCACCCTTGGTAATGTCAACTCCTGTTGTTTTTGATGTAGCATTTCCCATAATCCAGAACACATATACTCCAACACTAGTACCAAGCACATTCCGCGGGGAAACATGTCGTATAATTTTATTACCTGCAAAATAATTTTTTTTTTACATATGAGCAATATATTCAGTCCCAAACCAAAAAAATATTAAAGTACAGCATACACTGACATATTTACATCGAAGTAACTGCAGTGCTTTTATTTCTCGCATTACATTAAGAGGAATGCCATCCTCCAAATTTTTTATTAGAATTTTCTTCAAAGCTACATCACGTCCAGTTGGAAGATGCCGAGCCTTGAACACAAGTCCATGAGCTCCTTCACCGATACGTCCCAGGACTGAATAATTTGTTATATTACTCGCCATTCCACGTTCTTCTACAAGGATATAAAGATTATTAAATTCACGAAATTGAAAAACATTGACATTGCTTGGGTAATAAATAGTTGCCAACGGTTACCAAGACTCAATAAAGTACAAACAATTCTTGATGATCTTTGAAAAGACTTCTATAGTCAGCGTAACATGACGAAATAGTTTCCTTAGTCATTATCAATGTGAACAACTTTATTTAATACTCCATTTTAAGTACATTAATGTCTCTGAAAATTGTTTAAGATTATTTTGCTAGTTGCATAGCACTTCTACATTATCTTACATCATCGTTATCTAGGACTTTAACCTTGTAATTAAGAGAATTCAAAATCAATTTTTACTAAAACAACACAATAATGAGAATGGAACAATAGAATCTATGTTTAACCTTTTCTTGTAAATGTTTGAATTAAATATTGATTCAACTGTTATAGTGAATGGGAACGGGTGACAATCTTTTCGATTTCTTTTAACGCCAACGTTCGTCCCAAACAGTTATATGTACTCGTTAGCTTAAACATGTGGCTATCGAATACAAGTGTAGTTTTGCTATTATTATATTTTTGCCACGTGGCACAAAGTGCATCAATTCTCGCGCTTTTCTCTTCACTGTCGTTTGCTGATCATCTTGTTTTCCGAGGATATGTTTCACTATTGACCCGTCAAGGACACACTGTTGTTCTCATGACACCTTATCCTGGATATTTTGACTATCCAGATGTGGAACGAATTGTTGAGTTAAGTGTTGCTCAAGAATCAGCAAAATATTGGGACGAATTCAAGATCTTAATGACTAACACTGATGATTATTTTAAAAGAATGAGAGCTATAAATGATCTTTCAATAAAAATTGCTGTAACGCAGCTAACGTCGAAGCCTATGACAGCTCTGTTTTCTAATCCAAACGTGAAATTTGATTTAGTGATAACTGAAGCCGAAGTTCCAATATTATATGGTGCTGCTGAAAAGTATCGCGCCCCTCATATATCAATAACTCCAACTAGCGGAAGAATCACGCAATACGAATCTAAGGGATCGCCAATACATCCAATACTGTATCCAGATGTTAATACTTTGAATTATAGAAACATAACGCGTTGGCAGAAAGTCGTTGAATTGTATCGTTACTTCCAAACTCGAAATGAATACTATAACAATTATCTACCACTCTGTGAAATAGCAGCTAAAAAGATTTTTGGTCTTAAAAGGAATATTCTTGAAGTTGAATATGACATCGATTTGTTATTTGTTGCTGGAAATCCTGTTTTGATAGGCAACAGACCCACTTCATATGCCATAAAATATGTTGATCGATTACATATTAAACCAGGTTTTGGATTGTCGGATGTAAAGTATTCTATTTTTCATATTCATATATTCGTTTTCAAAATAAAACCGTAATAAAAAAGTTAAAGAGCACCATAATTGTTATTTTCAGGATCTTAAAGCGGCTTTAGATTCAGCCACTAAAGGAGCTATTTACTTTAGTTTAGGAGCCCTGCAAGAATCCGAACACTTGTCTGATAATATTTTACAGACATTAGCTGATGCATTCAGAGAATTGCCTTATTTGGTGTTATGGAAAATTGGTAACACAACTATGATAAATAAACCAGATAACGTTCTAGCGAATGCGTGGTTCCCTCAACAAGAAATTTTGGGTACAATTTTATTAATTTATATAAAGTCATAAATTGTTTCCGTACTCTCTATAATATTAGGAAGATTTCTTGTTTTTTTTAGCACATCCTAATATTAAAGCCTTCATTACTCATGGAGGTCCACGTTCTCTAGAAGAGGCTCTATTTTATGAAGTTCCTATAATTGGTTTACCAACTATTAAGTCTAGAGCGGTATTTATTAAAGAAATAACTCGCTATGGAGCAGGAGAAGTGCTGGATATGCACTATTTAGACAAGGACACACTTAAAGAAGTTATTAATGCCGTTGCATCTTCAGACAGGTAAAAAATTGATCTATGTTTTTTTTTTATTTAAAATAATTCAACATTTTGACATAAATGGCGAGTTGTGCTTTATTTTTTTTAATTTAATGACAAGAGATTTTATGTTTTACAGCTATAAAAAAGCGATGATGAAGTTAAAAAGTATGGTCGTGGATCCATTAATATCGGGGCCAGACAATGCTCAATGGTGGACGGAATATGTATTGCGAAACGGTGGTGCTAAACATTTACGGTCACCAGCTGTGGGACTTAGTTTCGTCAAATACTACATGCTCGATATATTCAGTGTTGTTACATCTATATTACTGACAATGGTCACACTAACGTATTTTATGTTACGTTATATAATAAAACGTTTAAAAGTTCGTTTCTTGCAAAGATTTAAATCTTCGGGCAAATTTAAAGCATTATAATATTTGATGAATGAATGAATGAAATTTTATATATGTTTTTTAAATAAATATCTCTCTATAAATATTAGTCTTTTTTGACACCACCGAAGACATTTAAATGTTGATTCTTAGAATTGAATACATATTGCTAAGACTATAATATGATTGTCCAAAAGAAAATTCTGGGCTTTTATTAACAGTTTTTGAGCAGTTTTTTTTTCCAAAAATTCCATTTTTTCTTTTGGACATGCATTGTTTTATAAATGTATGGAACATGGATAAAAGAATGATGCAAGAATTTAGAGTAATATTGATAAACCCCCCGTTTCCATACCTCAAAGTCTTATAATGTTCAGATATGATGTTTTGATGTATGAATTTATGAAAAAAACAACAAAAAAAAAATACCCGCAACCTATGCTAGAAGACACTAAAAAGAAGTTAACAGCAATTCATATTGGTAAGTAATACAGCGTTATGATAACGACATCCCATGGAAATAGACTTTGTTCATCAAGTTGGAAAGATTACAAGAATAACTTTATGCAATGTTATCCCTAGTTTAGCCTTATATCTGAAACCATACTAGAGGTAAAGTATTCTCGTTGGCAAAATATTCCACAATTCCAGTTCCATAGTATAAAAAAAATAGGAATATTTTGGTCAATGTATCAAAATTGACAGGTGACAGAAAACAAAATTGCATTTTATTTCTATTATTTAAAAGTCATAACATAGTATGAAATGTGAAGAGTTATTTTATTATGCCTATAAATTCAAAGGTTTTACTTTATAACGATCAAATATTCAGTACTTAACAATGTCAATCGTAAGGACATGTCCGGGCCTTTACTGCGGCCGTACAGAATTCGAGGATGGCTCTTGGAGTGAATGTGGTGCATGCCCTAGGGGTTTTCGCACTAATGAGACAAGCTACTGTGTGGAGTGCACTGATGAACCAACATTATATGACTGGCAATACCTGGGCTTCATGGTTCTTTTGCCTTTAGTCTTACATTGGTTTTTTATCGATATGGTTGCAAGCAGTGATCGGTGAGGCATTATGCATATCAAATGAATCCTACAAAATTTATTAATTGTTGTAATGTGCTTATTATTATTACAGCAAAAGCTCAATGGCAGCACAGCATATATGTGCATTTATCGAAATTCTCTCAGGGACACTTGCAGCACTCCTAGTTTTGCCACCTACTGGCTCTATAATCCTTCATGTTTGTACACCAAAAGCCTTATCGGACTGGTATACTTTATTGCATAATCCGCAACCAGATTATAAGGAGACTCTTCATTGCACACAGGAGGCTGTTTATCCCTTGTAAGTTATGAAAAATGTATAATCATTTATTAGTTTTTATTTTGTATTAAAAATTAGATAAGAAAAGTAAGTAAATTAAAAAAGTAAACTTATATATATCTATATCAGAAGTTATTATAGGGTATGTGATATTGGGTTTATGTAATTTCTTTTACATTTGCAACAGTTAATTTACAATGAATAATTTGATTTATTATTAATTTTATTAACAGTAAGCACCTTAAATAAAACATTATATTTAAGTGACAATACTAAGGGGTTTATTTCATTGAAGGTTGACTGTTTGATTTTTTATAATGACTACATTAACAGATTTTCTATTATTAGAAAATATTTAAACATTTTCTATTATATTCCAGATACACACTAGTGCTCCTGATTTACGCATTTAGTCTTCTGATGACGGTAACAATACGTCCATTCCTACTGGCCTGGCAGAACACAAACTCAGGGAAAAAGGCAATATATTGTGCACTATACTTTTACCCGATACTCGTACTTATGCATACAGTTGCGGCCGGCTTGATTTGTAAGTAGATTTAATATAATTTTTTAAATGAAATAAATAATTGACGGATTTAGAGGCAGTTTTTTCTACAAAATAATAGTTTTATAAATAAAATGAAAAATAGTTAAATCACTTAGTACATATTTCCGAAAAATATTACTTTCATTTATATGAATAAAACTTGCGAAAATCTTAGATCGCATGATATAATATTATGTATAGAACTGAATGAAAAATGAGCAAAAATAACTTACACATGATATATAAGTGCTTTTTTACCATATATAGATAATATTTAAGTTGTTTAACATTTTATTTTTCAGATTGTGCCTTCCCATACATAGTTATTATCATATCAATGATAACTTCAGCGTCACACTTCTCTATCAAATTCGATCAATCGGCTCCAGCTTTATTGATGTCATCGGTGACAAATGTCAGAAATCTAATTATATTGCTTGGACATTGGTTGATTCATGCCTATGGGATCATATCACTAACTGGCTTCAAAGAACTATGGTATTTAACACTTGTACCGACCCCAGCTTTGTTTTATATTCTGACTGCACAGTTTACCGATCCGATGAAGATTCATAATGATTGATTCAAAGTGTCCTTGAAAAAGGAATATTTGGTGGACATCATCAGGCTGCTGTCTCATGAAAGAGATGGAATGGAAATTGAATTGGGTGTCATAGATTAAAGTAGCAAATTTTGTTGAAGGAAATTTTTTTAATCTGTGCACTTTTAAGAAAGTATGTATATGAATTGAAGTTTAACAAATATATATGCTATAAAACTGTTTTACAAATAAGTCATCCATATAGATGTAAGGTTAAAACAATTATGTTAATATTAAAATATAGATGTTATTTATTAAATCATAATTAAGTAATAGTTGTTTGTATTATTTTGAAACACTAATTTTTGGAAGCTATAACAGTTGATAAAAATCTATTAATTTTCAGTTAAGGATAATTTGCAATGTGTTTATTTCTTACAATTTATAATCTAAGTTAGTTTAGGTTCGAAAAACACATTCTCTTTTTATACTAAGAATTAATTCGTAAATAATAAATATATTATTCTAAAAAACCACAATTTAAAACAGTCAACCTGTATTCTGATGATATCTTAAGAGACAATGCGGAAAAAAAAGGGCAGAATTAAAAAAAAATACTTATTTCATTTAGATATTGAGTTTAACTACTGATTAACTTAATAGTATGTAGAATAGAATATAATATATAAAAAGAATAGAATATTATATAGTATGTATATCCCAAAATAACATATATGTATGTATTTCTGTGGCAATGAGATACATATATCAGTTAACCGTGTATTCTCATGACAGACGATAGATGGTGCTTCCATTAAAATATTTTTATAAAGTATATTCCCCCGACAACAGTAAATTATTATAACAGTAATTGTAAAATAAAGAAATTTTATCATTTTATACTAATAATATAAGAAAAGGTATACATAGTATATATGATCACAAGTATTACGTGTTAAAAAAATATTCGTACGAGAATATGTAATGGTAGAGCTGATTAATAAAAACAGTTGCAAAGGAAGGAAGGTATACTCAATACTGTATTGTAAGCAACTTTCATGTATGTGTGTGTGTGTAACAATAGTTATACCAAACATACGTGTATATGAGATAATTAAGATTTTTATTAACATTAATCGAAACAATCTTCTGTATAAATTCAAATCAGCACTCATTGAAGTTAATTTTGCTATAGATTCAGATTTCAGTTGAATGCCGTTTCTTCCACAGGACATTTTAATAAAAAATACAGACACAAACAAAACGGTTATTGTAATTACTGTACAAAGAGAATACAGATTAAAGAAATACATAAGCAAAACAAAATGAAAAGGGAGTCGGGTCGTTTAAAGGCGATCTCATTATTAAACGTTTTTCATTTTCGGACCACGACAAAAACCGCCGTAGCCATTTTTCTTTTTTTTTTTGTGTTGGATATCCTTTGTCTAGATACACTGACTTTTAACCGCAAAACGACAGCTTCTGTAAATAATGAAATATAGAAAAAGTATTTAATATAATATATATAAAGATATGTTACTTATTTTTTGTTCTTATCTAGAAACTATGTAAGTACCTTTATGTGAAAGGGTAATTAGAATAAGGATTAAGCAGTAGCGAATGTTGTTTAAAAACATATACCTTATCTGTTTTAATAGCTTATTCGTCTTGTACAAGGCAATTTTCCCAGTATTAGCCAGGTTCTGCCTTACATATTGTGAACAGTTTTGGCTAATTGTTTTTACGACTGGCCTCCTGCCTGACATCAACCCGCTTTGGGACTCAGCATTAATCAGTGATGTCTAAATACTCTTAAGAAAGTACATATGACTCGGAAAAATGACATTGGAACTTGCCAGGATCGAACATGCGCCCTCGTGCACAAGAGGCGGGCCCTTTAACAACTAGGCAACCACTGACTGTGGTAATAGCTTATTGTTCCATTTTAATTTTAGTCTTGAACTTCCAAAGAAAACGTCTGTTGCTTTGGTCATTTGTCTGTAATGCGCACTCTTTGTACATATATATATTTATTTACCTAACTAAACATTAAATATTAAATATAGTTGTAGTAGCCTTACCACAAGTTTTCCATTGTCAAAATACTTACGGAGCGTTTCCAGTTTTTCACACACAAACTTCGCAATTCATAGTATAGAAGTAGGTACATGGTTTAATGAATGAAAAACTGTGTCTTTAGTGTGTTGATGGAATCTTGTGGTAGGAGTGCTGATTTAAGTGTTTTATTGATGACATTTCGTATTATCGTAAAAACTGTTTAAATATAGTTTCAGGTCAAAAACTCGCTAGTCCTGAGTTTGGGTAGGTCCTCTTAACGTGTACATAAAAAGCTTTTATTCGACTTCGTACGTAGGAATAACATTTTTCATCCTATATTCATATCCGGGCATTGCTTCATTATTTGCGTATCCATACTACCGTACTAGTGTTTTCATAGTTTTACATTCGTTAACAAACGCTCAACAAATATTTTGGTTTCCGTCGCTCCTGGCGTAAATGAATGTTCCGTTTGTGGGTTGAAGTAGCGCGGAGTGCGGAGTTCTGTCCGGCCTTTGTGTCTACACCTGTTATTAAAACTTTTGCGAACCGAGCGAATTCCCTTTTTATATTTTCCGTTGATTACGGTATTATTATTCCTGTACAATAAAAAGATCCTTTAATCTACTCGCCGCTGGTATTTGTTCAAATAATTAAACAAAAATTTTTTGTTGAGTAGGAACGTAGCTTACATTCTTACAATAGCTGCCTTTAGAAATAATTACTTTTTGTAGTTTATTCTTAATTTGATGGTGTTCACAAATGAAAAAATCAAATACAAAGGTATTTGGTGGTGTTGTTAAGATTTAGTTAACTTTGTGACCGAGTTCTTCTCAACGTAACATTGTTTTTTTTAATTATCCGTTGGTATATGGACAGAACTAGTTATATTCAACCTTCGTCTTCTACCTGGCAATTTCCCAGCTTTAGCCAGGTTTCTGCAATTGTGAAAAGTTTTGGCTAATTCTTTTTACGACCGGCCATTTGCCTGACATCATCCCTCTTTGGGAATGCATTAATCAGTGATGTCTAAATACTCTTAGAAAGTACATATGACTCGAAAAAATCACATTGGTACATGCCTGGGCCAGGGTCGAACCCGTCAGGATCGAACCCGCGCTCTTGTGCATGAGAGTTTGTCCTTTTAACCACTACGCCACCACTGACTAGTTATATTCAACCTATTTTAAATACCTAATAAAATGTTTCCGAATATTACGATCAATTTTACACATGTCAAAAATATATGTGAAAAAGTGAAAATAATCAATAAATTGATAGTTCTGTATCGGCAGTTACAGTTTCAGACAGCGGAAATTGCTTCATCGTCAAAATTCACTAACGAGCTTCAAAAATAACTCACAGACAGACCGATGTGTGAATTCGATTATAACATGTAATATATAATAACACATGTTTTATTAAATGTTTGTTTTTTGATTTCAATAAGAACTAAATAAGTCCAAGCCAAATTAATACTACATTGTTTTTGCGGCACAAAAGTTTGTTTTCTCCTATACTGTCAATTATTTTTGACAAATACATACTTATATGTGTGAAATTCGAAATAAATTTATTAAATATCTATACAGTATTTAATATTTTATGTTTTATAGGAAATAAACTCAAATAAATATGAAATAAGAAGCGACGCTTTCGAAACGTTTCTGACTAAACTGTTTAGAAACTTATTTTTTTATTTTTTATTTGCATGTATATAAAAGTACTTAGGACACCAAATTCATCCAAAACTCATGATTAATTTAAAATGTTTGAAAGGACTTTGCACTCATTTTTTTTATTAAGTTTACTCAATATTTACTTACTTATCATCATTATCAGCCTATTGGAGCCCACTACTGAGCAAAGGCCTCTTCTCATATGGATAGAACACTAATCACCATGCTTGCTCAAGGCGTATTGGCGATTTCAAACTTATAATTTGAAAGTATAAGTCCGGGTTTCCTCACGATGTTTCCCTTCATCGCCGGTCAGTAGTGTCTAAATATTCTTTGAAAGTGCATATGACTCGGAAAAATCACATTGGTACTTACCCGGTTCCGAATCCGTGCCCCCGTGCAAGGGAGGCGGGCCTTTAGTCTTCAGACCAGCACGACTTCCATAGTAACCTACAGACTCAATAAATTTATTTTATATTTAACTAGATTTGCCCGCGACTTCGTCCGCGTTAATTTCGGCATTAGTAATATATAAAAGAAAGTCCACAAAAAGGGCAATATCCAACAACTACAAAGCAACATGTTATAAAAATTAAGAATTACGTTAACATGAATAGTTTGGCAGTATTTAACAAATTAAGTACAGAAAGAAACTGTTGTCTATAGATATTGTCTATCATAACTTTTTTTAACGAAAGGAATGCTTCATTATTGGCTGTCGATCGTGCCTACACAGACCGGCAAAAGGTACATAGCGATAATATCGTTTTGGCTAAGAGTTGAGTTCTCGAGTAAGTAAATATGGTTTTTCGTTTATATGAGGAAAAAACGAACATTTTCCGGGATGTAAAGTAGCCTATGTGTTATTTCTGGACGTCAGCTTCCTGTATACAAAATTTTATCAAAATCGGTTCAGCCGTTTGAGCTTGAAGAAGTAACAAACATACACACGCACTCACAAACTTTCGCAATTATAATATTAGTAGGAATATTATGAAAGGTAAAATAACTTTACTTGTTCCTTTAAGTATCTTATGAGCTAAATAAAATACATATATTTATAACGTTATTCACACGTTCTTAAAAGATACAACGCATGAATATAGACTTAGGTAAGTTCTTTTAGACATTAAAAATCACGATAGGTTTTTAAAAGTCACTTTATTAATAGTTTACTAAAATATTCCTTTAAAACATAATAAGTTTATTAGATATATTAGCTTGAAAGAATTAATTTTATTTACTTTCTTACATTATACAATTATTGTATCCAATAGGGCCATTTTACATTTTCCATTTCTGACG